ATAGTTAAGAAAATATTAAGTAAAAAAAAATAAAAAAGGTTACACAATAAAATAACAATAACGAGGCTATACACAGGGGGTACCGGTACCAAGTCAATGTGCGGGGGCACAGGTTAGTTGAGGTAATATGTACATGTAGGTAGGGGTAAAGTGACTATGCACAGATAATAAACAGCGAGTAGCAGCAGTGTAAATCTATATGTGTATGTGTGTTTCCCCTGTATTAATCTGTGTGTGTGTGTGTTTGTGTGTGTGTCCTGTAGGAGGTGCTGAGTCTGTGGGCTGGGGGGGGTGTGTGTAGAGAGGGTGGAGCTAAAGGACCTGACACTCCCCCTCGGTCTGCAGCGGAGTGTAGCATCATAGGCACAGGATGCCAGAGGCCAGTGCGAAGGTACACACACAAACACATACAGCTACAGTCTGGTCTTCAGGACTGAGACCAGCACAACCTTGGTCTTCCCATTCACCACAGGACTGGATTAGCCCACTGAGATTATTATTTACAAAATTACATTAGAAAATGTCGTACATATACATTATAATCATGTTGATAGATCATATCATGTTGTTTTAAATGTGTAGTGCAGTGATGGGCAACTGTGATTGTGGTGGGGGCCTCAAAACATCTGAACTCATCATGAGGGGCTGCAGTGGCTCGCAGGTCTGCGTACCCACACCCACACATGCAGTCAGAGCCGGGGCTTTTGGGGGTCATACTTTTATAAATAATCTCCTGCAATTCTACTCATTTTGCCATGGGGTGGACAGAAAGGTTTGCAGTTTTACAGCTAATTTCCTGCAATTCTATACATTTTGTCATAGGGTGGAGAGAAATGTTTGCAGTTTTTAATATGATATCTGAGTGAGAGTGACAAACAAAATCAATGGGGGCCCCCCCGGTCGGTATTTCAACCATGATTACTACAAGTTTAGCCGCTAGACTAATTTACCAATCTAAAAATATTTAGCTGACATGGGTTAATTGAGTTACTGTCAGTGACTGATATAACAAGAGAAAAACTGCTGATGCAAAACCAAACAAAAAAATTTCACCTTATGTATTCTACTGTTCTAACTCTCAACAGTAAATTGAGACCCCAACTGAGTTCCCCCAAAATAAATGGAAATGGATCCGCGGGCCTACAAAAGGGGGGCGGGCCGCCAGTTGCCCATCGCTGGTGTAACGTATTGTGGGGAGAGAAAGTCACACACCCATGTAAACTGTTGTCCTTTTTAAATGTATTTTAAGGTATTACTGAATTTCATGAATGGTGTGTGCGTGTGATGTTAGGGTGAACTACGACACACAAACACACAGTCTGTTTGAGTGGTTATCTCATGCTCTAGTTTCCCAGAGACGTTAATATTCTGAGAGGTTTAATCTCTGATTACCTAATCACCTAATGAGACTAATCACTGACTAACCATAGAACATCCACTGGGGTTAGAGGTTAGCCTCGCTATGACCTGCTGGATAACTCTCTCTGACCTGTGTGTGTGTATGCGTATCTCTGACCGGGGATGACCAGAGGGTAAGAGCTAAATACTGCAGGGATATTTATGAATCTGATTGAAGGGAGAAGAAAACATTTCCCCATTGGTCTAGAGCCAAGTCTTCAATGGCCCCTTCCCTCCCTCCTTTGTTGTCTCCTTGTTTCTTTTGTGACCTTTAACCCCATGGGCTGTTCCGGTACAATGAGGAGAGGAGAAAAATGCTACATTTCCAAATCAACCCTAGCCCCTCCTCCCTAGGCACTCCTGTAGACCTGATAGGATTAGATGGATATAAGAAATATGACGACAACTCCACAAACCTGTCAGAAGGCAAGGTTAGCATACTACTTGCAACTCTCTGATCCTCTTAAATCTACAGGAGTGCCTAGGTAGGGGGCTAGGGGTTGATTTGGGATTCAACACCAGTCAGAGGGAGTCCTGAAACCCATTCACAGGGAGGCCCAGAGGCATAGCTCTATGTCTAATCTGTCTATCTACCACCCACTGTGATACACACGCGCTATTATTATTATTTTTCTACTATTTCTCTTCTTTTTTTTCTGTCTGCATTGTCTCCTAACCTGGAGACTCAAGGTCCTCTGGAGAATAGCTACTTAGGAGAAAGGCTGGCTGACCCTGCCCTGAACTTGGTGGTCTAAGACTCCATAGACCAACCACTTACCCAGTCCATGGTAAGTAAGCATTTCACTGTTAGTCTACAGCTTTTGTTTATGAAGCATGTGACAAATACATTTGATAAGTCGCTCTGGATAAGAGCGTCTGCTAAATGACAAAAAATGTAAAACTGTAAATTTGACACACACACAGTTGCCTATAATCTCTCTGTCCACAGTGTTATCCAGTCATAGTCAGATGACAGAGGATGGCGTGGCTTCAGGGTTAAGATCTTAATCCAGAGGGGGAACAGAATGACCTGGTAGTGGCCTCAGCCTGGCTCCTCACCTGGAGAATGATCTGGACCTGGCTCCTCACCTGGAGAATGATCTGGACCTGGCTCCTCACCTGGAGAATGATCTGAACCTGGCTCCTCATCTGGAGAATCAAGGTCCTCTGGAGAGTAGCTCCTCAGGAGGAAGGCTGGTTGACCCTGCCCTAAACTTGGTGGACTAAGACTCCATAGACCAACCACTTACCCAGTCCATGGTCCAGATCATCGCCCCTAAAGTCTACAGACTGGACAGAAGGCCACTGCTTTGGCCCCTAAACTAAAACATCTCAATTGGTATTAGCCTACACAATTGAAGTTCAACTAGATGGGAAACTTTGAACCAGGCAGCAATGGGTGCCTCTACTGTATGCCCATGAACATACATTAAGTATTCATAAGTATACATTATACAGTGGGGAAAAAAAAGTATTTAGTCAGCCACCAATTGTGCAAGTTCTCCCACTTAAAAAGATGAGAGAGGCCTGTAATTTTCATCATAGGACCACGTCAACTATGACAGACAAAATGAGAAAAAAATCCAGAAAATCACATTGTAGGATTTTTAATGAATTTATTTGCAAATTATGGTGGAAAATAAGTATTTGGTCAATAACAAAAGTTTCTCAATACTTTGTTATATACCCTTTGTTGGCAATGACACAGGTCAAACATTTTCTGTAAGTCTTCACAAGGTTTTCACACACTGTTGCTGGTATTTTGGCCCATTCCTCCATGCAGATCTCCTCTAGAGCAGTGATGTTTTGGGAATGTCGCTGGGCAACACGGACTTTCAACTCCCTCCAAAGATTTTCTATGGGGTTGAGATCTGGAGACTGGTTAGGCCACTCCAGGACCTTGAAATGCTTCTTACGAAGCCACTCCTTCGTTGCCCGGGCGGTGTGTTTGGGATCATTGTCATGCTGAAAGAACCAGCCACGTTTCATCTTCAATGCCCTTGCTGATGGAAGGAGGTTTTCACTCAAAATCTCACGATACATGGCCCCATTCATTCTTTCCTTTACACGGATCAGCCGTCCTGGTTCCTTTGCAGAAAAACTGCCCCAAAGCATGATGTTTCCACCCCCATGCTTCACAGTAGGTATGGTGTTCTTTGGATGCAACTCAGCATTCTTTGTCCTCCAAACACGACGAGTTGAGTTTTTTACCAAAAAGTTCTATTTTGGTTTCATCTGACCATATGACATTCTCCCAATCCTCTTCTGGATCATCCAAATGCACTCTAGCAAACTTCAGACGGGCCTGGACATGTACTGGCTTAAGCAGGGGGACACGTCTGGCACTGCAGGATTTGAGTCCCTGGCGGCGTAGTGTGTTACTGATGGTAGGCTTTGTTACTTTGGTCCCAGCTCTCTGCAGGTCATTCACTTGGTCCCCCCGTGTGGTTCTGGGATTTTTGCTCACCGTTCTTGTGATCATTTTGACCCCACGGGGTGAGATCTTGCGTGGAGCCCCAGATCGAGGGAGATTATCAGTTGTCTTGTATGTCTTCCATTTCCTAATAATTGCTCCCACAGTTGAGTTCTTCAAACCAAGCTGCTTACCTATTGCAGATTCAGTCTTCCCAGCCTGGTGCAGGTCTACAATTTTGTTTCTGGTGTCCTTTGACAGCTCTTTGGTCTTGGCCATAGTGGAGTTTGGAGTGTGACTGTTTGAGGTTGTGGACAGGTGTCTTTTATACTGATAACAAGTTCAAACAGGTGCCATTAATACAGGTAACGAGTGGAGGACAGAGGAGCCTCTTAAAGAAAAAGTTACAGGTCTGTGAGAGCCTGAAATCTTGCTTGTTTGTAGGTGACCAAATACTTATTTTCCACCATAATCTGCATATAAATTCATTAAAAATCCTACAATGTGATTTTCTGGAGAAAAAAATTCTCAATTTGTCTGTCATAGTTGACGTGTACCTATGATGAAAATTACAGGCCTCTCTCATCTTTTTAAGTGGGAGAACTTGCACAATTGGTGTCTGACTAAATACTTTTTCCCCCCACTGTACATGTGTAAGTATAAGTGCCCTGCAGCCTGGCCCATTATGAAAGATTCTCTGAGGTAACCAGGGAAATGCACCCCAGTAGGGTTGGACAGCTTCTGATTTGTTGCTTTTGATGCCTCTGCCCTGTACTCTGCCTTTAAATGATATATATTTAAAGCCCATACTGTACATTTAATACTGTAGTCAGTAAATAGTGGGTATAGGCAGGGCTGGGCTGGTTAGTGTTACCACAGCTCTGATGCAATTAATAACCCTGCTCATGTGGAGCTCCATACGGAGAGTCTCCTGTCAGAACACAGCTGCCCCACAGAGAGCACTCCTGCCTGGGCTGGCCAGCTACACCCTGGTCCTCCCTGGTTCTCACATGTATGGGAGAGTTGGGATTGATGGTATTGAGTACATAGAGGCAGATAGCATGAGAGAGGGATGGAGAGAAGAGAGAGTAGAGCGTAAAGGAGAGGCAAGGAAGGAGAGACTGATTAGGAGCCACATGGTGACTCATTGGAGGACAATAATAATAATAATATAATAACAATAACGATAATAATAACAACGATAATAATAATAATAATAACACGTGTCATGTCTTGTGCCTTCCCTCTCCCCTCTTGCAGTACAAGTCAATAATGCTTTATTAGCACTAAATATTACCAAAAAAGACTACTCAAGAGTTTCACTGGGTAACCCAGATCCCAACAAACCTAGTCACCTCAATGACTACATCTGTCTTTCTTTCTGCTCTGGTCATGGTCAGTTAGCTATTTTCTTCCCTCCCCTGCTCCCTCCCTCCCTCTCGCAGTCTGTATTACTAAGAGCTTCCATGTCGTTCCTCTCTCAGACAAACCTCCCTCTAGTATCATCCGATCTCCTCCCTCCTTCTTTCCCTCTTTATCTTGGTTGTAAGGATGTTACTCTGGCAACTCCTCAGTTTGGTGGGCTCCCTCATGCTCTGCAAAGGTAAGACTCATATTTCCATGACCAAAGTGTGTGTGTGTGTGTGCATGGGTGGGTGTTGAGCTAGTTATGTGAGGTCTGCCTGTTCTGACCCCTTCACCCCTCTATCCCCCCTAATCCAGGACACAGTTTACAGAGAGAGATAGAAAAAGAGAGAAATGTGTTGTTTTCTGTCTCACATCTGTTAGCACAGTGTTTCTCAAACCTCTCCTCGGGGACCTCCAGCTGTTCCATGTATTTAATCTATTCTAGATCTAGCATACCTGATTCAACTTGTCAACTAATCATCAAGCCCTTGAATAGGTGAATCAGGTGAGCTAGTTCAGAGCTGAAAAATAAAAAATAAAACGCTGCATACTGCTGCTGATGCTCCCAGGTGATTTTATTATAAGAACGTTTCGACCCTTAGGTCTTCATCAGGCATCCATATCCCAGTTGGGGGTGGAAGGTCCTATATATTAGGGGCAGTACTCAGTGACATCACTTCCTGAAACAGGAGGTACAAATATATAACAGCTTCACAATATCGACATTCAATATTTCAAAATATATGACCATACACAAGGAATGTGATCAATATTTACAGTTTTTTTTATATATATAGATATAATATTCAACTTGGGTAAAAAAGCACACAATAATTTGGACATTTTGAAACTATAAAAATGGTTTTAAGTCGAACTCCTCGTTAAGGCCAAGAGGAGACAGTGTGTTGAGCCTGTGGATCCAGAAAGATTCCCTTTGAAGAAGTTTCCTCTCAATGTCCCCTCCCCTGCGTGACATCTTGACAATTTCTATTCCAATGCATCTCAGAGAACTAATAGGATGTCCAGCTTGTACAAAATGAACAGCAACCGGGTTTTTTGTCTCACCGGTCTGTATATTGCGGCAGTGGTCACTGATCCGGGTCTTAAGGCTTGTACGGCTTTTCCCTATGTAAGACAGACCCCAGGGACATTTCAACATGTAAACAACATTGGTGGACATGCAGATAATCAGGCCTTTGATCTTAAATCTTTGTCCTGTGCAGGGGTGGGTAAATGAGTCACATTTCTATGTGAAACTGCTGATTAGTTCAGAGCTACAGCAAATTGTTAAAACGTCTGGGTGTCCCTGAGGAGAGTTTTGAGAACCACTGTGTGTTAGCAGACTCAAGGTTTCAGACATCTTTCTACACTCCCTCCAGAACAGACTCAAATAACTGCCATGTATGTTCTTTCTCTTCCCCAAATATCCTTGAGTGGAGGAATTATAGTGTGTGGTGTGTGTGCATGGGCGTAAGTGTGTGTGCACGTGTGTGTGTGTGTGACCACAGACAGAGAAAGGGGCCAGGGAGAGCTCAGAGAGGTAAAACTTCCCCATCTGCCTCGGGACAGTTCTGTCTATGGGACAGTTAGTGCTGCTTGCTTTGTGTGCCAATGGAGTGAGCCCTGTGTGTGTGTGTGTGTGTGTGTGTGTGTGTGTGTTCACGGGTCATGAATTAATGACAGAGAGGACAGGAAGATTGTTGAGAAAGGGGATTGGGGGCACAGAGGAAGATAGAGAGATGTCACAGGATGAGCTGCTTTTTTATAGCAGCATGATCCAATTGAGAGCAGCAGCAGAGGACAAGCTGCTATTAGAGAGCATGGATCACCGCTAAAGCCGCTAGCATGACACTGGGCGCTAGCCTACATGCTAACACTAATAACTGATGTTGTTTAAACGTTAACAAGCTACATGCTAATGCTACCGAATCATGACACTCAATGCTACATGCTAAAACTCATAATGCAGTCTTGTGGCTAATTCTACATGGTAAAAGGTTAAAGCCCCTAGCGCCATACAGTCAAAGCCTGGCTGCAGCCAAGGAGGGACACTACAGTATCACATAGCAAAATAATCCACAGAGGAGGATCATTTTCCAGAGCAAGGTTCAGACAGGCACCTTTAACCTTTCACCTGTGGCAAAGAACAGTGGCTAGGGGAGGGGGAGAAAGTGAGACAGAATGGTAGGGGTGAATGTGTGTTCTATTATAAGAACAATGTAAACAGGCCAGAGTTCGAGAAGCACTGGCCTATCTTTATAAATAGAAATCTTCGGTATTCACTCTGTCTCCATTCACCAGCTGTCTGCTCATGTTTAAATGCATAAGGAAAGAAGAAGAATACGTTGGGGTTCATCAGAGAATGACCTGGCCCTGACCTAGCAGGGTATCAATGAATACACTTACACATCCTCCCCTTCTCTCCCCAGGCCAGGAGAGTGGTGTAGTTGAGCTGTGTGATGACTTTACAGACCTGGACTTCCATGAGTGCTTCCTCGGGACCACCCTGAACGTCAAGCTGCTGCTCTACGCCAAGTAGGTTAGAGTGTGTGTGTGTGAATATGAATGTGTGTGACTGCGGTTGGGTAAAAAGTAAAATGACATTTTCTAAATAAAGTATTCTCCTTCTCCGTTTCCTTTCCCTCCTCCTTCCACCAGGTCTAACCTGCGCTGTGGCAGAGAGGTGAACCATCACCACCTGTCCTCCCAGCCACTCTTCAACTTCTCCCTGCCCACGGCCTTCGTCATTCACGGCTACCGGCCCACCGGGGCCCCTCCGGTCTGGGTGGACCATATCGTCCAGCTGCTGTCTGAGCAGGAGGACATGAACATCCTGGTGGTGGACTGGAACAGAGGAGCTGCTAACCTTAACTACTTCACTGCTGTGGCCAACACACGACAGGCTGCCAACAACCTCACCAGCTTCATACTCAACATGCAGGTGTGTGAGCGGGATATTGCTAGTTTTCTGTGAATCTATAATCAGTTGTTCTATGAGTCTTGTGTCAATGTTGCTAATTGTTCACTGTGTGTGTGTAGGCGGAGGGAGCGCCTCTGAGTTCGATCCACCTGATTGGGGTGAGTCTAGGAGCTCACCTAGCTGGGTTCGTAGGAGCAAACCTGAAGGGCAAGATCGGCCGCATTACAGGTGTGACAGAGACTGTCTGTGACTGAAAAGCTACTATTTGATTGATGGATTATTTAAATGATTACTTAATTGATTAATTAATGGTTTAATTAATTGATGTATTAATTAATGTATTCATTGTTTCAATAATATTCATTGTTGTCCAGGTCTGGACCCAGCAGGGCCCATGTTCACTGGAGCGACTGCTGAGGAGAGACTAGATCCTTCAGATGCCATGTTTGTAGATGTACTACACACTGACATGAACTGTAAGTACTGACATGCTGTGTGTGTTTGTGTGTGTGTGTGTGGCAAGGGATTCTCTAGATGTTTGTTTTTGTGATAAGAACATTTTGAATTTCATGTTGTCCTGTATTATCTGTAATTTTTTCACATAGCGTTTGGTCTCAGAGGTCAACATGGCCATATTGACTACTATGCCAACGGAGGATCTGATCAGCCAGGCTGCCCCAAGACCATCTTCTCAGGTGAGACTAACACACACACACACACACAATAACTCATGTAATAACTCACAGCTTCTCTCTTTCGTAGGGAAGTCATATTTCGTGTGTGACCACCAGCGCTCTGTGTTCCTGTACCTGTGTGCTCTCAACCGGACCTGCAGCCTCACAGCATACCCCTGCTCCTCGTACAGCGACTTCCTGGATGGGCAGTGTCTGCAGTGTGAAGCCTTTAAGCCCGCCCCTTGTCCCATGCTAGGTGTGAGGACAGACTTCCCACTGGTCAACCCAGAATCTCCCTCAATCTATAAACAAGGGAAAATATGCTTGTCATCAAATCCTCTATTAAGTAGTTTGATTGCCATACCAATCCATGGTTACCCCCCAGGTTATGACATCAGCAGGTGGAGGGATACTCTGTTGCGATTGGGACAGACCAAGGCCTACTTCACCACCACTGCCACGTTGCCTTATAAAAGTAAGTCCCACACCCCTAATTATCAATCAGTGATTAACATACATAATGCTTCTATAGCAGTGATTTCTCAAATATGAATTGTGTGTGTCCTGTGTGTGTGTGTGTGTGTGTGTGTGTGTGTGTGTGTGTGTGTGTGTGTGTGTGTGTGTGTGTGTGTAGAGACCAGCTACAGGGTGGACATGGTGACATGGAACCATTACCTGCGCTGGGGTGTCGTCATCCTCAGACTACACAGTGGCAGGAACTTCACTGAGGCACGCATAGACCGGTACGTCTCAAATACACACACGAACGAACAGATACACTTGTGACAGTAAGACCTCTAACTCTCTATCCCACTCACCATCAGTAAGCTTTTCAGGTTTGAGCAGTTCACCTCCACCCGTCTGTTGGTCCAGTTTGATGAGGACCTGCAGCCCGTCCAGAAGATATCCCTCCGCATCGCTACTGGCAACATGATAGGCCCTCGCTACAAAATCCGACTACTCCGCATCCGCCTCACCCCATTGGAGCAACCCGACAGGTGAGAGACCACCACACACTTTTCCCTTTTTCTGCCTCCTTCCTCCCCCCTCTCTCTCCAACTATACCTTTCTCTCACCCCTCCAGCCCGCTGATGTGTCGCTACGACATCATCATGGAGGAGAATATTGAGGTGGCGTTCCGTCCGCTGCCCTGCGACCCTCGCCTCTGAGCCGCCACCGGAGGAGGTTCTCCTCACACACACACACACACACACACACACACAGGGCCTCCAGGGACTCCCCAGTCACAGACCCAGATGAACCAGAAGGGGCCGAAAGATGACAGCGTCCCCCCCCCCACTGCCCGTCTTGTCTAACCAAGCTGCGGGATCACAGGCTTTGGCATACCAATGATGTCAAACTCATTCCATGGAGTGTCTGCTGTTTAGGTCTTAAATGAAAGGAAAAAAACTAGACACCCAGGTGAGGGGAGTTCCTTACAAATCAGTGACCTTAATTCAAGGGAGGAGCGAAAACCCGCCGACACTCGGCCCTCTGTGGAACAAGTTTGACACATGGCATAGAAGGTGAAGACTAGGTGGAGCAATCACCATGTTTCTCACAGCTCTCCAGTTCTTTCAGATTGGATTAGTGTGGGTTAAGGGCCTTCAGACTGTTCTTTGGGAGGACAACAGAACACCGGTGGACCATACAGACATTACTGAGGACATTAATAATGATGCTGCTGATCAGTGGGATTTACCTTATCATGAGGGGGTTTTGGACTGCTCTCACTCTCTGCCTTATGAAGGATGGTGGTGTTGCTATGACATTTCTGTATTTTAATGCAGTCAGAGGGCATTCATAACCTGCTCTAACCAGTCATAAGCTCTTATAACTCCTCAGTGTAGATCCTGGTTTGTGTGGGAGTCAGTATCTTGTCCATTTGTATTGCAACTCTGACATAACTGAGCAGCTGAAAAGAAAGACTTGAAACAACAGAAATTGATTAAAAAGTCAAGATGTTTTTATTATGTAAAAAATCATGGTACTGTGGTGTAAAGTAATTTTTTATGGACTTTGTATTTCTAGCTACATTTGAAATAAATGCACTGTGCGTTTCACTGTGATCATCTGACTGGATTCTCTGCCAGATCCCATATCACCTCTGCTTGCTCTTGTGGGGTTAAAGGTTAAGGCCTGCCTGTGTTTCTGCTAAGCACTATCCCAACTTGATATCCACCTGCACAGCTGGGCATCCTCCTCCCCAGTCAGCTCTGGTTAGTCCAGCGGGGCATTAATCCACCGGTCAGTCTCCACTGACCATAGAACAGCAGTCTGACCTATCCATCTGGCAGGGGCATTACCTCTGACCGTAGAATAATCCTGTCCAGCCCCGTTTACCTAAACAAAGACTGGCCTAGGTGTAAGTAGGCACCTGTTAAATATCAGCAAGGATCACCTCTGTACCCGACCTTAAGCGCTCACACACAGGTGTGTACAGGTAATGACCAAATTGGCTGTACTCATTTAAGATGCATTATTACTACTACACTCAAAGGGACTTTTACTACCCAACACCAATACGCTTGCCAACATGGTATTTGAAGTAATCTCTTATTTGATATTTGATTTTTTTTCTTCGGTAAGCAATGCATACAGCCAACGAAAAGCAGCGTTCACTTACTCAAAATATACTTCATGAATGAAAGGACAAATGAATGAATTAGGTGGCTCCTCACTAACAGGATGCTCCCCTTCTGGCTCAGGGTCCTCCCCCCCTGCATTATGACATCACTTCCCCTCAATTAAATATCAGTCGGCCATCTTACTTCCCCACAACACTACTCTGTCAGGAGAGTAGCTACACTGCATGGACTTTACATTGACCGTGTGGTACAGCGACGTCAACCCTGTTCTGTTGGCCAATGTCAGTACAGGTGTAGGTCAGGTAATGGAATTGAAAAGGTGGCGCTACCAGGTAATCAAGCAGCAGAAAATAAGAGATGCCGGTTCTGTCTAGGTGTGTTATAATATACACTACATGACCAAAAGTATGTGGACACCTGCTCGTCGAACATCTCATTCCAAAATCATGGCCATTAATATAGAATTGGTCCTCCCTTTGCTGCTATAACAGCCTCCACTCTTCTGGGAAGGCTTTCCACTAGATGTTGGAAAATTGCTGCGGGGACTTGCTTCCATTCAGCCACAACAGCATTAGTGAGGTCGGGCACAGATGTTGGGCAATTAGGCCTGGCTGGCAGTCGGCGTTCCAATTCATCCCAAAGGTGTTCGATGGGGTTGAGGCCAGGGCTCTGTGCAGGCCAGTCAAGTTCTTGCACACCGATCTTGACAAACCATTTCTGTATGGACCTCACTTTGTGCAGGTAAGGGCCTTCCCCAAACTGTTGCCACAAAGTTGGAAGCACAGAATCGTCTGCTGTAATATTAAGATTTCTCTTCACTGGAACTAAGGGGCCTAGCCGAACCATGAAAAACAGCCCCAGACCATTATTCCTCTTCCACCAAAGTATACAGTTGGCAGTATGCATTGGGCCAGGTAGCGTTCTCCTGGCATCCGCCAAACAAAGATTTGTCCATCGGACTGCCAGATGATGAAGCTTGATTCATCACTCCAGAGAACGCGTTTCCACTGCTCCAGAGTCCAATGGCAGCGGGCTTTGCACCACTCCAGTCAACGCTTGGCATTGATCTTAGGTGATCTTAGGCTTGTGTGCGGCTGCTCGGCCATGGAAACCCATTTCATGAAGCTCCCGACAAATAGATATTGTGCTGACGTTGCTTCCAGAGGCAGTTTGGAACTCGGTAGAGTGTTGCAACCGAGGACAGACGTTTTTTACGCGTTACGCGCTTCAGCACTCGGCGGTCCCGTTCTGTGAGCTTGTGTGGCCTACCACTTCGCTGCTGAGCCATTGTTGTTCCTAGACGTTTACACTTCACAATAACAGCACGTACAGTTGACCGGGGCAGCTCTAGCAGGGCATACATTTGACTAACTAACTTGTTGGAAAGGTGGCATTCTATGCCACATTGAAAGTCACTGAGCTCTTCAGTAAGGCCATTCTACTGCCAATATTTGTCTATGGAGATTGCATGGCTGTGTGCTCAACTGTTATACACCTGTCAGCAACGGGTGTGGCTGAAATAGCTGAATCCACTAATTTGAAGGGGTGTCCACATACTTTTGAATATTCAGTGTATAGAGCTGGCCCGGTCACTCCTCTGAGCTTAACAGCTAACCTCACATAACCCCTGGCTCCATCCAAGAGTCCATTCACCAGTTGGCACCTGAGAGAGAGGGAGCGAGAAAGAGAGAGAGAAATGAATATAGGCGTTAAGTTAAAAAAACAGGTCTGCTATGGTTGTAATGGTCCCATTAGTGGACAAGATGATTGGCTAAATGAAAGGAGAGAGGATTTGATTGGCTCAGGGTCAGACATTGAGATCTAGGAACCAGATGGACAGACTGACTAACTAATGTAACCAGACAGGAAGGTAAACAGAGTCAAGACCCTGTCGTAGGAATTACATAGTCAATCAATCAACCAATCAGTGATTGAGGTCACTGAACATGGTTGGGAAGTTCTGCTTCTCTGAACAGGTCTGTGTGTTACAACAGTGGACTTTCTAACTTCTGTGTCCTGGTTTATATTCACTATATATTTATCATGTTTTGGGGTGCTAACTGACCGTTAATACTGCGGTTCTGTTGTTTCATTGGTCCAGGATGGTTGCCGGGGCAATTAGGAGGCCGGTTGTTCCTCAGCTGGCCGCCCATGTTTTGTCTAACCATGCCTCCTCTCCTCTGACCCCCCGAGAGAGCGCGCGAGAGAGAGAAAGTTAGAAGCCTGAGAGATATTCAGAGAAATCTACAGATAGTTTCCACTGTTTTACCTACACCCCTACTAAATATGAACACATGCACACACAGTTCTCACCATCTCTCCAGGCCACCTCCCTCCTCTCTGTGGTAGGCCTGGCCAGCCTGAAGAGAAGCCCTCCTCTTCCTCCTGAACCTCCTCTTCCTCACTACCATACTCTTCGTGATGGTCACTGAGACAGAGAGTGAGAGAGAGAATGATGAGACAGTGAATGATGAGACAGTGAAGTGTAAAAATGCAAAATGCACCCTTCCTCTACATCAAATCAAATGTATTGGTCACATACACATGGTTAGCAGATGTTATTGCGAGTGTAGTGAAATGCTTGTGCTTCTAGTTCCGACAGTGCAGCAATATCTAGCAAGTAATATCTAACAGTTCCACAACAAAAACCTAATACAAAAATATAAGTAAAGGAATGGAATATGAATATATAAATATATGGATGAGCATTGTCATTGTCAGAGCGGCATAGGCTAAGATTTTACATTTACATTTTAGTCATTTAGCAGACGCTCTTATCCAGAGCGACTTACAGTTAATGCATACATTATTTTTTTATTTTTTTCATACTGGCCCCCCGATGCAATAGATAGTATAGAATATAGTATACAGTATATACATATGAGATGGGTAATGCAAGATATGTAAACATTATTAAAGTGGCATTATTAAAGTGACTAGTGTTCCATTTATTAAAGTGGCCAGTGATTTTCAAGTCTGTATGTAGGCAGTATTTTTTATGTATTTGTAGATAATGTCTACCGCCAGAATGAAAGCACTACATATGAAAGAAACTATTTTGTTGTTTAAAAAAAGGACTCGTCAAAACCAATATGTCTATGGTCAATACACTGGGTGGAAGAAAGACAGTCTGATGGCCTTGAGAAATAAGCTGTTTTTCAGTCTCTCGGTCCCAGCTTTGATGCACCTGTACTGACCTCGCCTTCTGCATGATAGCGGGGTGAACAGGCAGTGGCTCGGGTGGTAGTTGTCCTTGATTATCTTTTTGGCCTTCCTGTGATATCGGGTGCTGTAGGTGTCTTGGAGGGCAGGTAGTTTGCCCCCGGTGATGCGTTGTGCAGACCGCACCACCCTCTGGAGAGCCCTGCGGTTGTGGGCGGTGCAGTTGCCGTACCAGGCGGTGATACAGCCCGACAGGATGCTCTCAATTGTGCATCTGTAAAAGTTTGTGAGGGTTTTAGGTGACAGGCCAAATTTCTTCAGCCTCCTGAGGTTGAAGAGACGCTGTTGCACCTTCTTCACCACACTGTCTGTGTGGGTGGACCATTTCAGTTTGTCAGTGATAGGTATGCCGAGGAACTTAAAACTTTCTCCACTGCTGTCCCGCCGATGTGGATAGGGGGGTACTCCCTCTGCTGTTTCCTGAAGTCCACGATCATCTCCTATTGTTTTTTTGACATTGAGTGAGAGGTTATTTTCCTGACACCACACTCCGAGAGCCCTCACCTCCTCCCTGTAGGCCGTCTCATCGTTGTTGGTAGTCAAGCCTACTACTGTTGTGTCGTCTGCAAACTTGATGATTGAGTTGGAGGCTTGCATGGCTACGCAGTAATGGGTGAACAGGGAGTACAGGAGGGGGCTGAGCACACACCCTTGTGGGGCTGCAGTGTTGAGGATCAGCAAGTGGAGGTGTTGTTTCCTACCTTCACCACCTGGGGGCGGCCCGTCAGGAAGTTCAGGACCCAATTGCACAGGGCGGGGTTGAGACCCAGGGCCTCAAGCTTGATGATGAGCTTGGAAGGTACTATGGTGTTGAATGCTGAGCTATAGTCAATGAACAGCATTCTTACATAGGTATTCCTCTTGTCCAGATGGGATAGGGCAGTGTGATGGCGATTGCATCATCTGTGGACCTATTGGGGCGGTATGCAAATTTAAGTGGGTCTAGAGTGACAGGTAAGGTGGAGGTGATATGATCCTTGACTAGTCTCTCAAAGCACTTCATGATGAAGTGAGTGCTACAGGGCGATAGTCATTTAGTTCAGTTACCTTGCAGTCTTGGGTACAGGAACAATGGTGGACATCTTGAAGCATGTGGGGACAGCAGACTGGGATAGGGAGAGATTGCATATGTCCGTAAACACACCAGCCAGCTGGTCAGCGCATGCTCTGAGGACGTGGCTAGGAATGTCGTCTGTGCCGGCAGCCTTGCGAGGGCTAGCATGTTTAAATGTCTTACTCACGTCGGCCACGGAGAAGGAGAGCCCACAGTCCTTAGTAGCTGGCTGCGTCAGTGGCACTGTCAAAGCGGGCATAGAACTTGTTTAGCTTGTCTGGCAGCAAGACGTCGGTGTCCGCGGCGTGGCTGGTTTTTCTTTTGTAGTTCGTAATTCTTTGTAAACCCTGCCACATACGTCTCGTGTCTAAGCCGTTGAATTGTGACTCCACTTTGTATCGATTTTGACGTTTTGCCTGTTTGATTGTCTTGCGGAGGGAACGACCACTCTGTTTGTATTCTGCCATATTCCCAGTCACCTTGCCATGGTTAAATGCAGTGGTTCGTGCTTTCAGTTTTTCACGAATGCTGCCATCTATCCACGGTTTCTGGTTGAGGTAGGTTTTAATAGTCACAGTGGGTACGGCGTCTCCTATACACTTCCTTATAAACCCACTCACCGAATCAGCGTATACATCTATATACAGTGGGGAAAAAAAGTATTTAGTCAGCCACCAATTGTGCAAGTTCTCCCACTTAAAAAGATGAGAGGCCTGTAATTTTCATCATAGGTACACGTCAACTATGACAGACAAATTGAGGAAAAAAAATCCAGAAAATCACATTGTAGGATTTTTAATGAATTTATTTGCAAATTATGGTGGAAAATAAGTATTTGGTCACCTACAAACAAGCAAGATTTCTGGCTCTCACAGACCTGTAACTTCTTCTTTAAGAGGCTCCTCTGTCCTCCACTCGTTACCTGTATTAATGGCACCTGTTTGAACTTGTTATCAGTATAAAAGACACCTGTCCACAACCTCAAACAGTCACACTCCAAACTCCACTATGGCCAAGACCAAAGAGCTGTCAAAGGACACCAGAAACAAAATTGTAGACCTGCACCAGGCTGGGAAGACTGAATCTGCAATAGGTAAGCAGCTTGGTTTGAAGAACTCAACTGTGGGAGCAATTATTAGGAAATGGAAGACATACAAGACCACTGATAATCTCCCTCGATCTGGGGCTCCACGCAAGATCTCACCCCGTGGGGTCAAAATGATCACAAGAACGGTGAGCAAAAATCCCAGAACCACACGGGGGGACCTAGTGAATGACCTGCAGAGAGCTGGTTCAAAGTAACAAAGCCTACCATCAGTAACACACTACGCCGCCAGGGACTCAAATCCTGCAGTGCCAGACGTGTCCCCCTGCTTAAGCCAGTACATGTCCAGGCCCGTCTGAAGTTTGCTAGAGTGCATTTGGATGATCCAGAAGAGGATTGGGAGAATGTCATATGGTCAGATGAAACCAAAATAGAACTTTTTGGTAAAAACTCAACTCGTCGTGTTTGGAGGACAAAGAATGCTGAGTTGCATCCAAAGAACACCATACCTACTGTGAAGCATGGGGGTGGAAACATCATGCTTTGGGGCTGTTTTTCTGCAAAGGGACCAGGACGACTGATCCGTGTAAAGGAAAGAATGAATGGGGCCATGTATTGTGAGATTTTGAGTGAAAACCTCCTTCCATCAGCAAGGGCATTGAAGATGAAACGTGGCTGGGTCTTTCAGCATGACAATGATCCCAAACACACCGCCCGGGCAACGAAGTAGTGGCTTCGTAAGAAGCATTTCAAGGTCCTGGAGTGGCCTAGCCAGTCTCCAGATCTCAACCCCATAGAAAATCTTTGGAGGGAGTTGAAAGTCCGTGTTGCCCAGCGACAGCCCCAAAACATCACTGCTCTAGAGGAGATCTGCATGGAGGAATGGGCCAAAATACCAGCAACAGTGTGTGAAAACCTTGTGAAGACTTACAGAAAACGTTTGACCTGTGTCATTGCCAACAAAGGGTATATAACAAAGTATTGAGAAACTTTTGTTATTGACTAAATACTTATTTTCCACCATAATTTGCAAATAAATTCATTAAAAATCCTACAATGTGATTTTCTGGTTGACGTGTACCTATGATGAAAATTACAGGCCTCTCATCTTTTTAAGTGGGAGAACTTGCACAATTGGTGGCTGACTAAATACTTTTTTTCCCCACTGTAATTCTCAGAGGCTACCCGGAACGTATCCCAGTCCGCGTGATCAAAACAATCTTGAAGCGTGGATTCCAATTGGTCAGACCAGCGTTGAATAGTCCTAAGCGCGGGTGCTTCCTGTTTGAGTTTCTGCCTATAGGAAGGGAGGAGCAAAATGGAGTCGTGGTAAGATTTGCCAAAAGGAGCGTGGGGGAGGACCTTGTATGCAATTAGTATAACAATGATCCAGCGTTTTTCCAGCGCGAGTGCTGCAGTCAAGTGGAGCAGTGGTCTAAGGCACTGCATCGCAGTGCTAGCTGTGCCACTAGAGATCCTGGTTTGAATCCAGGCTCTGTCGTAGCCGGCCGCGACCAGGAGACCCATGGGGCGGCGCACAATTGGCCCAGCGTCGTCCAGGGTAGGAGAGGGAATGGCCGGCAGGGATGTAGCTCAGCTGGTAGAGCATGGCGTTTGCAACGCCAGGGTTGTGGGTTCGATTCCCACGGGGGGCCAGTATGAAAAAATGTAATATAAAATAATGTATGCACTAACTAACTGTAAGTCGCTCTGGATAAGAGCGTCTGCTAAATTACTAAAATGTAAAAAAATTAAATGTAATATGCTGATAGAATTTAGGTAGCCTTTTTCTCAAATTTGCTTTGTTAAAATCCCCAGCTACAATAAATGCAGCCTCAGGACATATGGTTTCCAGTTTGCATAAAGTCCAGTGAAGTTCCTTGAGGGCCGTCGTGGTATCGGCTTGAGGGGGGATATACACGGCTGTAACAATAACCGAAGAGAATTCTCTTGGGAGATAATACGGTCGGCATTTGATTGTGAGGAATTCTAGGTCGGGTGAACAAAATGACTTGAGTTCCTGTGTGTTGTTACAATTACACCATGAGTTGTTAGTCATGAAACATACCCCCCCACCCTTCTTCCCGGAGAGATGTTTATTCCTGTCGGCGCGATGTACTGAGAACCCAGATGGCTGCATGGACGGGGACAGTATATCCCGAGAGAGCCACGTTTCCGTCAAACTTAGTATGTTACAATCCCTGATATCTCTGGAAAGCAACCCTTGCCCTGATCTCGTCCACATTGGTCTGGAAATGGACTGGACATTAGCGAGTAATATACTCAGAAGCGATGAGTGGTGTGCGTGTCTCCTAAGTCTGACTAGGAGACCGCTCCGGCTCCCTCTCCTCCAGCGGCGTTGTTTTGGGTCGGCCTCTGGAATCAGTTCAAATGCCCTGGGTGGTGCGAACAAAGCATCCGCTTCGGGAAAGTCGTATTCCTGGTCGTAGTGCTCGTAAGTTGACACTGCTCTGTTATCCAATAGTTCTTCCCGGCTGTATGTATTAACACTTAAGATTTTCTGGGCTAACAATGTAAGAAATAATACATCAAAAAACAAAATACTGCAAAGTTTCCTAAGGACTAGAAGCGAGGCAGCCCTCTCTGTCGGTGCCATCTTTAGTGAGGTAATCACTGATCTGACAGATTGGGTGAACACAAGGATCCATAGATCAGCGATAATTCCAAGAAAGGCAACTGTAGACATGCCGTCCCCAATGAATGATGCAATTAGTGACAATTCAAACTAGAATATACTGATAGTAACAAAACATGTGCCCGTTAGAGAGCCACCGCGTGGTCGACATTAATGTTCTTGCATATGTTGAGTGTTGACAGTGTTTGCAACCTGTGTGACTGATTTATATGCATTTGTGCGCCAGACCACGCCCACGTGAATGTTTATTGGTCATGTTGTTTTAGGTACTAGTCTGGAAAATATTGCGTTGAGAGACATTTGTCCATAGATGCCACAGTGTATCAAGTTTCATGCAGATCGGTCATTTGGTGTCAGAGTAGCGTTGAAGTGTTTTTCACAAAATTCTAAATGGTGGAAAATCCATCATGGCAAACTTGTTCCTTGTAAGGAGAGGGACTTATGTACCGAATTGTATGACTTTAGGTCAAACGGAGTGAGGGGCGTGACCTTTCAAAGTTTGCATTTTTTAATCGCTTGTTATAGTGCCCCCATTTGGCCAGTCAGTGTAATTTTGTAAATGCCGGATCTCTATGGCAAGACGCATCATTCACTCAAGTGTCGTCAGAATCGGGCCAGTGCCGTCTGAGAAATCGCGTGACGAACGTACGAGTGTACTAAGGGACAGAGACAGATCCACAGTCCATCATGGCTTCACTGTGTTGTAGTGTGTTGTAGTACCTCCCGGCAGCCAGGGGGCACTGTGAGAGCCTGCCTCCAGGGATGGTGACCTTCACCCCCTCCAGCCTCTCCAGTCTCCTCCTCTCCAGGTCATGTCTCAGGTCTCCTGGGTCACTCACCACCTGCTGCTGCCTCTGTTCACACACACACACACAACAATCAATACATCCATCAGCCAATCAATCCATCCATCTATCCATCGACATTATCAATCATTCACCATTTAAAAACATGCATTCTACCTGCATGCGGCCAACTTTGGAGAAGAGAGGTTCCATATCAGGCTCTGACAGACTCATGTTGAACCGCCTAGAGAGGAGAAGAGAAGGAAAAAGGAATAAAATATAGCTACAGTTTATAAACAGCACATTGAAGGCTTAAACATAAAACCATGCCTCTTAAGTCTCATCACCGTAGTACCCAGGCGTGTGTGTGTACCTGTTCAGAGTAGGCCTCTCTTCCTCCTGCTCCTCCTCAGGCAGACCTCCATCTTGGGCACCACAGAAACGCTCAGTCAGCGTTACACCATCACCCCTAAAGTAATGCTCTGGAGAGAGGGGGTGAGAGAGATAAATATCTATAGGTTCTGTCTAAATGTGTGTGAAGGCGTGTCTATGGGCTGTGCATGCGTGTGTGTGTGTACAAGTGACTGTGTGTGCGTGCCCATCTTCGAGTTGTGTGTAGTATTTCTGCGTTTCGTGTCCTAACCTTTCACCTGGTGCACCAGGGTGATGATCTCCTGGGCAAAAGTCCCAGAGTGCATTGTGGACTCCCGGTACGTCCCAGAATGCTCTAGCATGGGTAGGAAGTCGAGGCGCCTGCGGCCCACGTTGACCAGATCCAACGACAGCTGGCGGTCTGAAGAGTAGCACAGCTGGCTGTAGAGGAGAGAGAGATGAGCAATGGAGAGGAAGAAAGCGGAGTGCCTTTACCCTCTCGGATCAGGGCTGAATACCAGGGCTTAACTGTGTTGGATAATCAAGGCTAATTAATAATAGTACTAACAGCTTCTAATGTAGAGTGTACTGCTGTAGCTGGTTACTGTAGAGTGTACTGCTATAGCTGGGTAATGTAGAGTGTACTGCTGTAGCTGGTTACTGTAGAGTGTGCTGCTGTAGCTGGTTACTGTAGAGTGTGCTGCTGTAGCTGGTTACTGTAGAGTGTGCTGCTGTAGCTGGTTACTGTAGAGTGTGCTGCTGTAGCTGGTTACTGTAGAGTGTACTGCTGTAGCTGGTTACTGTAGAGTGTGCTGCTGTAGCTGGTTACTGTAGAGTGTGCTGCTGTAGCTGGTTACTGTAGAGTGTACTACTGATTTAAGTAAAAACTGTAGTTTGGGGCAGCAGTCATTTTTTTAAATTCAATTTGTTGAAGGGAGTTAAGTGGTTTTCTGCTGGATCTCTTCTGTAAATAAAATTTAGCTTAACATTTTACTGAACAACCTTACCTTGACCAAAGTATCTGTAAAACACACTATACTTACCTTTACATTTGAAAGCAAAAATGACTGATTAAATATACCATCTACAAGAGCTGTTGGTTTGAATTATTTGCAAAAAGGCACTTAAGACCAAATAAGGCCTGTAGGAGTTTGAAACGCAACAGGAAGAGAGTGAGACATTTCTCGTCCCCAGGGATGTATTAGTGAAACGCTGAATGCTAGTTGAGATAACGGGCGGTAACGTAAATGCTTATGCTAACAAAGCGTATGTGGCGTAGAAGGTGTGTAATCGCACTGCAGAAAATAAAAAAGGTGTGAACAGCGTTTAACCTCCACTACATCCCTGACCATTTCCTGTGCCAGTGTGAGGTCATGTAAAGGACACTGGCATGGGTCAAAGGTGAAAGGTCATGCTTCTTTCAATTTTTTTCACTCTGCATTTCTCGTCAATCAACTTCTGGATGTCAGTGATCCACTTCCTGTGGTAAAAAGGTCAGCAGTGTGGTTCTTATCCTTGATTGGTCTAAAATTGGACAGTGTGGCTCGTTCTTGAATGGTCCAAAGTAGACAGTGTGGTTCTTGTCTGTGATTGGTCCAATGTGGACAGTATGGTCTCTTAAAGGAGTCGTTATCCTTGTGAGCAGGTTGCATCTTGAGTATGTAGTGTAGACTGCGAAGGGCAGATCCCATCAGTATAGGAGACCTTATTACTAAGGGGTTTTTGAGCGCAATACTCAGTGTTTTCATAAGGATTCATCCACACTGAACTACTTTAGTTCTTATTTTTCTCCAAGTGTTGATTCTGGGGCCTTTTCACTAGGCTGAGTCCAGTTTCTCTGTCAGGAATACCTTAGTCCTCACTGGGTTGGGTTTCCCCTTGCTGTCGTAGTACTTTGACAGAGCTCCGTTTCCCTGGTGCAAAACGGATGACAGTTCATCAATAGTCATATGGTTCTGAGAGCCTCTTGGAGAAGAGACGTTCTTAGAGCTTGATGATTCTTCCTGCCTGAGAAGTCCATGAGTATCAGGGTCAATAGTGGTGGTACAGTTAGTGGAATAGCTTCTAAGAGTCAAACCAAAAGCTTTATTTTCACGTGTTAAGTCCCAAAGTCGTTTTCACTCTTTTCAACATGGTGGTTATCGGCAGACATTCATCAACCACTGCTTTTCTGACTGGACATCATCCTGATATTCTCCAGACCTTCACATTGCCTTCTGCTCCTCTCCACTCTTGCTTGTGTCTACTAGTTGGTCACCCAAGCCTTCATTTCATGCAGAAGGTTGATTACTGTTGATGTGTTTAATGACTGTGCTTCTCCATCCAATGACTTGGATTCTCCCTGGTCTGTTCACATCCATATGACTTAAGCTGTAGCATCCAGTCTTTACTTGTAGTCATGCATCAAGCGGTGACCTCTGGTCTGGTAGAGCTCAAAGCGAGTTGTAATATGAACCTGTAGCGTTCGGTTGCTTTCAGGGCAACATCGTTACTTTGGGTTGTCCTTCAGAGGTGAGATCAACTCAGTGCTGTGCTTTCAATTTATGCTGTCAATTTCTTTGAGTCAACAGTTTTGTTGAAAGGAGAGCAGGTTGAAACACACTGTGGTCAAAAAAGCCATGTGTATCAGAGGCCAGGCATCTGAGTATCTGTGGTGTAAATGTTGAGGAAATTTTGGATCCATTTTGGCCTCAGAATTAAAGGTTTTGTGATGCAGTGGTTACATCGAGTCCGAGTCTATTATTAGGATAACCGTTTCTCGAAAATCCTTTAGGCTTTGAGACTCAAGAGCATCATTGTTGATGACGGTGAGCAATACCACGCTTGAGATCGCTAAAGGTCTTTGGAAAGCTTCACAGTGGGAATGAGTCCATCTCGCATAAAGCACTTTGGATGAAGAATGAAAATTGTCCTAGTATTTTTTGTGTGTCTTTGACAGATAAAGTATAAAGATCCTCTAGGACAGTGTTTCCCAACCCTGGTCCTCGAGAACCCCCAACAGTACACATTTTCGTTGTAGCCCTGGACAAACACACCTCATTCAACTCATTGAGGGATTGATGATTAGTTGACAAGTTGAATCGGATGTGCTTGTCCAGGGCTACAATAAAAATGTGTACTGTTGGGGGTACTGGAGGACCAGGGTTGGGAAACACTGCTCTAGGAGTCTGCAGAATACTATACACAGTCAATGACGGAAAGAACATGTTGACTTACCTTTAAACATTGATCTGAATGAAAGACAGTCTTGATTAGAGCTGGTGTTTTGGTGTATGTATCATCTTGCAGAGTATGGTAAGGGGAATTGCCTGGCTCAGTGACTAGCACTAAAACACTTTGCTTCTGAAATAAGTCCTTTCACAAGGGTCTTTCTCTGATTAGCTGATCAAGAGCTGATCATTCCAAGTTTTTCTCAAGGCATTGAAAACAACATGGTGGTTCCAAACGGATGTTCCTGAAGTTCAGGGCACTTTCCCCGCCCAAATCGTCTTCAGTTAGCCCCAGACCAAGACACAGATCCAGCCATGCAGTGGCTCAGTGACTGACATCTTATCAGGCTCACCAACTCCATATGTATATTAGGGCAATCCTTCACCATACCAGGGAGACGCTTCTGCAGTTAGTGCTCAGTTTGGTTAGCACCAAGACTTTTCCATTTTGTCCAGTAATGGGTTCTGGCTTTTCCTCTGAGACTCAGGTCAATCAGCTGTAGAGTGAGTAGCAGAACGGTCTTCTCCACTCTTCATCCAGTCTTTACCTCCCAGAGGTCCTTCAGCACGTTACACCATGCAGGCTCCTTGCTCTGTATAATTCCCTTGTGCTTGTTAAAATAATTTCAGTTGTGTAGGATGAGATGGGTCTGATGACGGTAAATCTTTGCAAACACACAGCTGGTGTCTCTTCACACATCAGCTGGTTGGTCTCTTGGTTGTCAGGGCTGCTCTTAGGGAAGTTGCAACCACTCCATTTGTGAGTTGCCAATCCTGTTGGGATGTTCATTTGGATGAAAGAGAGAATTCTGAAGAACTGATGAGGCAAACCTCTGCCCTGAGCAGATGAGGGTTAGAAGTAGAACTACAGATCCATTAGGTTACTCAGATGATAGGTAGCCTTCTACTCAGAAGCTGCCGTTCTTCTGTGGTATCTCTGTTCTCTATTGTTGTGAAGCTGGTCTGACATGTTCTGCTTCTCTGGATGAGTAAGAAACACATTTTTTAGGAGATCCCGACATGCTTGCTCTGAGTTGCTGTTAAGAATTGATTCCACCTTCATATAATGCGTTTGAGAATGTGAAGGACAATAATATAAAATGGCCACTGCTGAAAGAAGGCTTTGGCCATTCTCCATGTTTATCACTGTGTGATGCCCCACACCATGAAGGATTAGTTTGACCTAGGTATAGAAATTGCATCCCACCACAAATTCTCAGCATGTAGAATACTTGCTTTGTAGAATCCTTGCTTTGTAGAATCGAGAAATCAGTTTGACGAATCATTCCTCTTCTAGCTTTCCTCCTCTCAGGGCTTCTGACTATACATGTCTTCCTGCAGTCGAAAGCGAGCGCTAAAAAGAAGCATGAACTTTCACCCTTGACCCCTAAACGTTGCTGTCCGAAACACCTTACCTATTCTGGCCCATGGTGCGCTTCATGTCCACTTTGATGGTGAGTGTCTCCTCCTTGCCGGCGCCTATGCGAGGCATTGCCATGTCGTTCTGATGCTGGTTCCAGTTGGGATTGAGATCTCTAAGCTGAGGTTTCCTGGGTCCCATCCTGCCCCGTGCTGGCGGCCGGCCTCCTCGCGGCCCTGGTCCCCGGTCCTGCTCCATGTCGCGCTCCTCTGCCCAGCCGGGCTCCTCCATTCTGGGCTCCATGTCCCAGTTGCCTCCTCTGGGTTGGTACCGCTGGTGCTCCGGAAGGGAGTGCTGGGTGTTGGCATCCCGGGGTCCGTACCCCTGCTGTCCCTGGAGGAGAGGTTGGTTCCTGGAGGGCCCCATCTGTCTCTTGCCACCCCGGGCTGGGACCCCCCTCGCCCCACAGAATGCACTGTTTCTGGCCTTAGGATCTGTGGGACTACCTCTATCCTGGAAGCCTATGGGGATGGCGCTCCCCTGACGGTTAGGGCTTCTTCTGGACTCATGTATAGTCCCTCTGCTCTCGTTGTGTGTAGGCCCTCTCCTCCCTTGATGGACAGGGCCCCTCCTCTCTTCATGGACAGGGCCCTTCCTCTCTTCATGGACAGGGCCCCTCCTCTCCTCATGGACAGGGCCCCTCCTCTCTTCATGGACAGGGCCCCTCCTCTCTTCATGGACAGGGCCCCTCCTCTCCGCATGGACAGGGCCCCTCCTCTCCGCATGGACAGGGCCCCTCTCCTCATGGACAGGGCCCCTCCTCTCCGCATGGACAGGGCCCCTCCTCTCCGCATGGACAGGGCCCCTCCTCTCCTCATGGACAGGGCCCCTCCTCTCCTCATGGACAGGGCCCCTCCTCTCCTCATGGACAGGGCCCCTCCTCTCCTCATGGACAGGGCCCCTCCTCTCCTCATGGACAGGGCCCCTCCTCTCCTCATGGACAGGGCCCCTCCTCTCCTCATGGACAGGGCCCCTCCTCTCCTCATGGACAGGGCCCCTCCTCTCCTCATGTGCAGGCCGGCCCCTGGACTCCTCTCTGGTATTGGATCTGCTGCCTGACTTCCTGAACCGCTCCTCAGAGGCTCCGACCCGGTTATGATGGTGACCGAATCGGTCGTGGCTGTGGCTCCGGTTGCGGTCGGGGCCCTTGTGGTTGTAGTACGGTTCTGGCTCCCCGCTGTTCATTATACCATGGTCATGCTCCACGATGAGGGTTCCAGGCCCCTGGCCATCATGGCCCCCTGAGGGGCCACTGCGCCCCAGTGGCCTTCCTCCGTCGTACCCTTCCCGGGGCCTCTCCAACGAGGGGCGGCGCTCCCTAAACTCTGTCTCCCTCCTGTACCTGTGTCGACATAAAGAGCAGGTGACATGGTTCAGCACTAACAGATGACATACAATCATGCTGACTACACCTAACAGTTAGATTAATTTGTAATGTAGCATTTGATTTATTTAGGAAAACATGTAGAATATGAATTAAATGTATTCACAGGCTCGCACAGCCTCTCTAGATTGCAGCGGGTAATAATAGTAAAGTTTTCAACTATATCATAAGTCATGTCATGCACTTAACTGGTTCTCAGGGATCACAGAGACATGTGATGCATTTTAAGCCATGCAATTAAATCTACAACTACTATACCGTCACACTATTACACAAGGGACACAGTAGCAGAGTGAAGTTTGCACTTAGAAAAAACAGGAAGCTGGGTTCTCCTCTCCAATTTTCTTCTCTGGCTTTTGGTCATAAAACTCCAGCGGAACACTGCTCAAATTTACCCAGGATTCACCGCTTCAACAGTTTCCCTCCGGTTCCGGTCAGAGATGGTGCTCCGCTCTCTTTGCATGTCATCTTTCCTCCTGTCTCTATAGGAACCGGAAAAATCTCCACCCCCACCCCTCCTCTCCCACTTCCCCCCACCCTGAACCCTCTCCCTGGGGCTGCGGTCCCTGGACCTCCCATGGCTTTGGTCCCTCTCTTCTCTCTGGTGGTGGCTAGGACTGTAGTGAGGGTGCTGCGGGGCCAGTGATGGCAGCCTCTCTCTGGGTAGCCTCTGCGGGGAGTGGGGCGGCCTCTCTCCTTCGCATCTCTGGAATTCTTCTTTCACTCGTCCTCTGTCACCCCCTCCTCCATCATGGGGGGAGAGCCTCCTGCGCTCGGCGTAGCCCAGCTCGTGAGGGGGCGGTGGGGTCCTGCGATGGTGGAAGTCCTCTGGGGGGAGGTGGTGGTCAGGCCTGTGGAGACCTGGAGAAAGAGGTCTTCTGTGGCCTTCTGGGCAAAGGTTCCCTCTAGGCATAGGTCTTCTGTGGCCATCTGGGTGGATCTCGTCCATGAAGCGGACCCACTGGTCCTCGTGAGGATCCCCAGGGCTGCGGTTCTCCTCCCAGGGCAGCCTGCCCAGGTCAGCCAGAACCTGCTGGGGGTCGAAGTCTGGGTCATCCCAGGGGAACCTCCGGCCATCCTGCCTCCGTGGACTGCCTCTGTAATAACACAAAAAATAATACATTTGAATTGTAAAGCACCTTTCATACAGTGTGCCGAGTTGAGCCAACATTGTGAAGGAAACGTATTGACCCACACACTGGACTAGCAGGTAAAATGAACAGTGTGCAAGGTATTCACCTGTGAGAATTGTGGGGCGATCGTGACCGTGGCCTTGACATTCTCTTCACCTTGAGAGATCAGTGGACAGAGAGAAATAGTATGAATGAGTAACATACTAAGATACTGAAATGACCACCACAAACCGTTCCCTAGCCGTGGCACCATACAACAAGCATCAACATCAGATGTTTACATTTTGGCAGATAATACCACTCTGGTTATGAGCTGCCACTTAATTCCCACGTTGTTTAACTTAGGAAACAAAGGGTTTGAAATGTACAACAGCTTAACACTGAATCAACTAAAGCCATGTTACTAGGCTAGCTATCTAGGCCAGGCTAAAAACCAACTTGCCACGAAGAAAACAGGGGACGATGAGGGCAGCTCAAAATGACATTTTTACAGTGTAGTTGTTTACAGCTGATTGACACACATAAATAAACATCTGAATGGTTAATGTTGGCCTATGCTGTCGTTGTAGCCAACTAGCTAGCTAACTAAGCTAGCATAGCTAATATTGCAATGTAGCTAGCTAGCATGGCACTTACCCAATTGCACGTTTCTATCGAAACTACAGGATACGAACACCAAAACACCAGTCTCGTACACACAATTGTATTATACAACTACACTACTAGCTAGTGCCTGAGTAATCTCTACTGATGTTACGTTTGATACCGGAACACCGATCTGTGCGTCGAAATCGCTAAACCACAGATAGAACAATGAGACAGATATTTCACCGGATGTATAAATGTGAAGCATCCGCTTGGCGTTTCCACTCACGACAGGCTGTTGTCTGTCTTAGTGTAGTTGTAAAAATCTTTGTCTAAGCATTGTACTGATGCGTGTGTTTCTTCTTCTTCGTCTTCTTCTGTCTTCTTTCTTCTTCTTCGATGGGGTTTAACGGCAATTGGCATCCAATGTTATTGGTGCATTACCGCCACCAGCTGAACGGGGTACTGAATAATTTAAAAAAATATATATTGCGGGAAAAGGGGAGAAACGACATCATACAAAATAAAGAAAATAGACACGTCAACAAACAAAACCCATCCCACTTCTTCAATAACAGTTCATTCCAAAATATAACCCTACACAGGCTCAGGGGCCTGTGAGGGCGGAACATTCACTGACAGGATTTCTTGCAAGGCCTCGGCAAGAAAATACCCCCAAAAACTTCAGCTGCATTCACCACGATTCCAGTTTTCGCAGACTTCTTCTCCGCTTGTACTGTAGTTTATGACCATTGCAATAAATAACACAAAGTCCACCTTTTTAACATGTGACATTTCATGATCCCCTTACTCTTGCCACCTCGGTCTCCATCACCCTTACAGGGCACTCCAGGAATTTGGGCGCATGTTCGCCACCACAATTACAGCATTTCACTTAATTTAGAATACTATACTCTTCCCGTCTGCACACACTTGACACATGATCAAATCTTCTGCATTTATGACACTGAAGGGGTTTGTGCACAAAAGCTCTTACAGGGTATCTCATGAATCCTAACTGTATATGAGAAGGGAGAGAGTCTTCATCAAAGAACAGTAGAATGGATTAAATTTATTTATTTTCTCCTTTCACCATACAGGTCAGTCAACGTGCACCAAACACTCGATCTACAGTTGAAGTCGGAAGTTTACATACACCTTAGCCAAATACATTTAACCTCAGTTTTTCACAATTCCTGACATTTAATACTAGTAAAAATTCCCTGTCTTAGGTCAGTTAGGATCACCACTTTATTTTAAGAATGTGAAATGTCAGAATAATAGTAGAGAGAATTATTTATTTCAGCTTTTATTTATTTCATCACATTCCCAGTGGGTCAGAAGTTTACATACACTCAATTAGTATTTGGTAGCATTGCCTTTAAATTGTTTAACTTGGGTCAAACGTTTCAGGTAGCCTTCCACAAGCTTCCCACAATAAGTTGGGTGAATTTTGGCTCATTCCTCCTGACAGAGCGGGTGTAACTGAGTCAGGTTTGTAGGCCTCCTTGCTCACACGCTTTTTCAGTTCTGCCCACACATTTTCTATAGAATTGAGGTCAGGGCTTTGTGATGGCCACTCCAATACCTTGACTTTGTTGTCCTTAAGCCATTTTGCTACAACTTTGGAAGTATGCTTGAGGTCATTGTCCATTTGGAAGACCCATTTGCGACCAAGCTTTAACTTCCTGACTGATGTCTTGAGATGTTGCTTCAATATATCCACAGAATTTTCCTTCGTCATGATGCCATCTATTTTGTGAAGTGCACCATTCCCTCCTACAGAAAAGCACCCCCACAGCATGATGCTGCCACCCCCATGCTTCACGGTTGGGATGGTGTTTTTCGGCCTTCCTCCAAACATAACGATGGTCATTATGGCCAAACAGTTCTAATTTTGTTTCATCAGACCAGGGGACATTTCTCCAAAAAGTACAATCTTTGTCCCCATGTGCAGTTGCAAACCGTAGTCTGGCTTTTTTATGGCGGTTTTGGAGCAGTGGCTTCTTCCTTGCTGAGCGGCCTTTCAGGTTATGTCGATATAGGACTTGTTTTTACTGTGGATATATATACTTTTGTACCTGTTTCCTCCAGCATCTTCACAAGGTCCTTTGCTGTTGTTCTGGGATTGATTTGCAGTTTTCGCACCAAAGTACGTTCATCTCTAGGAGACAGAATGCGTCTCCTTCCTGAGCGGTATGACGGCTGCGTGGTCCCATGATGTTTATACTTGCGTACTATTGTTTGTACAGATGAATGTGGTACCTTCAGGCGTTTGGAAATTGCTCCCAAGGATGAACCAGACTTGTGGAGGTCTACAATTTTTTTTCTGAGGTCTTGGCTGATTTCTTTTGATTTTCCCATGATGTCAAGCAAAGAGGCACTGAGTTTGAAGGTAGGCCTTGAAATACATCCACAGGTACATCTCCAATTGACTCAAATGATGTCAGAAGCTTCTAAAGCCATGACATCATTTTCTGGAATTTTCCAAGCTGTTTAAAGGCACAGTCAACTTAGTGTATGTAAACTTCTGACCCACTGGAATTGTGATACAGTGAATTATAAGTGAAATAATCTGTCTGTAAACAATTGTTGGAAAAATTACTTGTGTCATGCACGAAGTAGATGTCCTAACCGACTTGCCAAAACTATAGTTTGTTAACAAGACATTTGTGGAGTGGTTAAAAAACTAGTTTTAATGACTCCAACCTAAGTGTTTGTAAACTTCCGACTTCAACTGTACATACATACATACATACATACATACATACATACATACATACATACATACATACATACATACATACATACATACATACATACATATATATACATACATATATACATACATATATATACACATACATACATACATATATACACATATATATATATATACATACATACATACATACATACATACATACATACATACATACATACATACATACATACATACATACATACATACATACATACATACATACATACATACATACATACATACATACATACATACATACATACATATATACACACATATATATATATAAATATATATACATACATACATACATACATACATACATACATACATACATACATACATACATACATACATACATACATACATACATACATATACATACATATATACATACATATATATACACATACATACATACATATATACACATATACATACATATATACACACATATATATATATATACATACATACATACATACATACATACATATATATACATACATATATACATACATATATATATACATACATACATACATACATACATACATACATACATACATACATACATACATATATACATATATATATACATACATACATATATACACATATATATATACACATACATACATACATATCCTTTAAAAATATATATTTCCCTTTATTAATTTCCAACCCCACCATCACCTCCCTAATTGGAGTAAACTAGTGACCAACAATGCTTAGGCCTCTACTTCATGCTTATACATACTATATATATTTTATGGACACAGTCACTCTTTATATTTTGTTTGTTTTTACTCCTGAACTTCCTCCGATCATTTTCATGATGTCCATCTGGTATGCTTCTATATGCCATATCTTTCTAACTGTGCTCTTTCACAAAACCTCACAATATATAACCTATATACTTATTATGGACACAGCATGTCTTACACTATTTATCTTGTTGTTATTAGTTGTTGTTATTAGTCCCATCATTCAGCACCATTCAACACCTCCCATCTATCTCTTAACACCATCCATATTGGATTTCTATTTGCCATATATTTTTCAACTGTACTGTGAAGTTTTACAAAAGTTCTGAACCTTTCTATTCTCATTGTTTCTACAGTTTGTGAATTGAAAATAAACATCTTTGCTAAAAGTAATATCATATTATTGATCGATTGACTATGACTTTTCAGATCACCCAGTAGTGCTATCTGCAGGGTCAGCTCCATGCAAATATTGCAATCCTTCAGCCATTCCTGGACCTGTGTCCAGAAACAAGCTACAAATGGACAGTCCCAAAACAAATGATCTAATGATTCTGTCTCTTCACAGCCAAATATGCAGAGCTGGGAAGATTGTATCCCCCATACAAATAACATTCTATTGGTAGCAAGAATTTTATATAATAATTTAAATTGAAAAAGTATACGTTTTGAATCCGGCATCGTTTTGCGTATCAGTTCATAAACACTATGCCATGGAATTGGTACATCAAAAATCTCTTTCCAACTATTTTGCAATCTATATGGGACGGCTGTCAGTCTTTTGGTCCTTAAATGAAACTGGTAAACCTTTTTATTTATCACAATTTTCTTTAACCAATGATGTTCTTTAATGCAAGGCCGACAGACAAGTTCCTTACTTTTTCCTCCTTCCACTTTCCTCTTCCATTTTTGCGGTAATGCTGCAATTATTTGGTTGTAATTTTGGTTAGAGCAGACATTTCCATATGTTTTTGTTAGCTGCATGTGCGACATAACGCCACCATTCCTACCGATAATATCATTTACGAAGATTATACCTTTTTTAAACATTTTCAAAAAAAGAACGTTTTTTTATCAATTAGTATATTTGAGTTTAACCACAATATTTGTTGCAATATCTGTTCTGCCATTTCTGGAGGATTAAATTGAAATTGCAACCAACTTTCTATGGCTTGTTTTAGAAATAGTGATATTTGGGAGATTATTTCCTTTTCAAATAACTGAAAGTGAGTGGTTGTAATCCGAATAAAGGGAAAAAGGCCATTCTTGAACATTGGGTGAGACAATCTTACTAGTTTGCTAGAGAACCAGTTCGGATTTAAGTATAATTTTTGTATGACTGAAGCTTTTAGTAATAGGTCTAATGCTTTAATATTTAATAATTTCTGCCCTCCTAATACATATTCTAAATATGTTTTAAATCAAGGTGTACTAGGTGAGACGAACCTATGCAGAGGTATACGTTTGAGCCAGGGGTTGATAAACAAAGTCACAAACATGGCTTGATTATGTTTTATTGTTGTTTTTCAGCAGTTAGAACCATGCACCACGTCTACAGTTATATATTCCACCAAGCTGCAGTGACATCAGTGTTAAGTGACTTTTAGTGAATAACATTCTGACCTTAAGTCTTAAGTTTACTACATTTTCCCTTAGGATACAATGAATGTTAACAGCCTCTGAATGCATGAGATAATGAACGAGTACAGAAAGAGAGAGGAAGAGAGATGGACAGACTGATGGACAGAAAGACATGGTAACTAAATCAAGAGTGCAGTGCACTGAAGACAGCAAAGATAAGTGGACATTCCAGGCCTTTACCTACTCTAGTCCAGTAATTGAGATACAGCATCCTTATTACAGCCATTAATACACACAATTCAGAGTCCATCCCCTCACAGGGTTAGCTGGGTCATGAGGAATGATTGACACCTTACAGTGCCCTTCAGGGGGAACTGAAACAGAGATTAGAACGGCGAGGGGAGGGAGCACACATGCTGAGCTACACCCACCCTGAAAGCAAAGTGTTACAGTATGATCTGAACAAGACAGTTACAGTACAGGAAGCATGTATGATTGTAGAATTCACAGCAGTAGTAGAAAGCAGACTGTGAAGTGTCCTCTGTAGTGAGATAGATCTCCATGAGGTAAAGCCACAGTCATAGTGAATATATCTGTTGTACACCAGAGTCTGTTACAGAGTTGACTGACTGAGTGAATACACAGACTGGTGAGATACTGCAGGACAGGGTTTCCAACTCTGGTGCTAGGGAACTACTGGCCTGGGTATGCAGGCTATTGTTTCAGCCCTGCCCCAAACCCACTTCATTCAACTAGTCACCGTCTTCAGTATGTACCATGATCAGTAGAATCAGGTGTGAACTAAAGCCCTCCAGGACCGTAGTTGGAGACCCCTGCTGTAGGTTGACTGGTAGTTGCTAGGTCTGTGAGTTGCAGCAGAAACAGTCCAGTCCAGTTCAGAGCAGAGGCAAGATAAGGAGAGCAGTATTTCCAGAGCAGAGATGAGTGTTTTCAGAGCTGTGTTACATGACCAGACGGTTTACACTAACTAAACCACAGCTAGCACACGCACAGCACAGTGAGCCAAAAACACATATTTTCAATATCCCCCAGCTCTGGAAATAGCTAAAAAAAAATACAAGACCGTTCACAGTTTTCATTTATTTTTGCACAGATTATATTCAGAGATGCTCCAGTCTTCCACAGGTGTTTTTGATGGACCACTATGGAGCGGTAGTGGATAAAAGCCAGACTTTTGTCTTACTATATCATCAACATCTGTAGATGAGTAGGTTTCTCAAGTTGCAGGAGGTTAACATATATAGGCTGGCTAGCTGAGTTCTAGGTACCGATAGTAGTCAAATAGACTCCTGAGTCCTGGCAAATAGTAGTACAGCATGTCAGTGGTGGTGTGATATAACCTTCCACCACTAGAAACACTGACAGACAGAAACTCCAAACACAGTCGTTACATCTAGTAGGCTGACGTTGCCCCTAACCACTGATACAGGGTCAGACTATATTTTCATCCCCCCCAATAGTTAAGGTTATTGAGGGTTAGAATGATCTGATCCTAGATCTGTGGTTAGGGGCAATTTATACCTAGAGCTAGTTAACAGCTGTGTGACTGTATACAATATATACAGGAGGAGGAGATGTGTTCTCCAGTGAAGATGCTACAGGGTCACAGGGTCAGTGTTAACCACATAATTAATGCTACAGAAGGATAACACAACCATAATATTACATTCTCACCCGCTCAACACTGACACAACTTTATGCACAATATCATACAGCCAGGACACAGAGAAAAAGCTTTACTTTACCGGGAGAGTATTAACCGTGTGTGTACATGTCAATGTGTGTGAATGGAGGAATTCAGCAGTAGATGTGTTGAGTTCACAGGAGGTTGGTGGCACCTTAATTGGGGAGAATTGCTTGTGGTAATGACTGGAGCTGAATCAGTGGAATGGTATCAAATACATCAAACACATGGTTTCCAGGTGTTTGATGCCATTCCATTTGCTCTGTTTCGGCCATTTTTATTAGGAGGGTCTCTCCCCTAAAGAGGGGTGAGGGCGGAGGTGCAGGGAGCTGGTCTCTCTCTCTCTGATGGGGGGAAGCGGGAGGAGAGGAGAGACCCCCCTGCTGCTCCTAGCTCCTCTTTGCACCCAACAGCCAGTAGTCCTACACAACGCCCTGGAGGAAGAGGAGAATGCATATCAGAGCAGAGCTGTACAGCATGTGTGATACACAGTATGTGTGTGGTGTGTGCGCATGCACACGTTTGTGAGTACGTTACCTGGTTACTAGACGTCCAGTTTGCCAGGGCTGAGGCTGTGGAGAAGTTGGGAGGAGCTTGAGGAGGAGCTAGTGAAGGAGGCAGGGTTATAATCCTGTATCAGCAGGTTCTTGTTGAGGTCTCCCAGGGCTGCAGCACTGCCGGCCTGCAGCCTGGGGTAGAGGGACGTTTCTGGCTGGGCGGTGAGGTCCAGGAGGTGCTCTAGGGTTCGGGTGTTACTCATGCTGTTTAACCTCTCGCTGACAGGAGAGAACTCCTGAACGCTACCCAACTCATCCCTGGACACTGGGCTGGGGAGACACACACATTACGCAAAATGAGTGTTAACAAATGGGGACGTGTGTGTGTGTGTGTGTGTGTGTGTGTGTGTGTGTGTGTGTGTGTGCAGCTCACCTGACGTCCATAGACTGTACCCCGTCAGACAGCTCGTCCCCTCCACAGCTCTTACTCTCCAGGGGTCCCAGCGTGATGATGGGGGACTCATCCTGATCCAACTCCCTGACACGCCCTGCCTGGCCCCCGTTCACCTCACACACACCTGAGAGAGAGGAGAGGATTAGACACACCATATTAATGGTAACTCAAAACCTTAATGGTCAAGAGTCATATACAGTGGGGGAAAAAAGTATTTAGTCAGCCACCAATTGTGCAAGTTCTCCCACTTAAAAAGATGAGAGAGGCCTGTAATTTTCATCATAGGTACATGTCAACTATGACAGACAAAATGAGAAAAACAAATCCAGAAAATCACATTGTAGGATTTTTTATGAATTTATTTGCAAATTATGGTGGAAAATAAATATTTGGTCAATAACAAAAGTTTCTCAATACTTTGTAATATACCCTTTGTTGGCAATGACACAGGTCAAACGTTTTCTGTAAGTCTTCACAAGGTTTTCACACACTGTTGCTGGTATTTTGGCCCATTCCTCCATGCAGATCTCCTCTAGAGCAGTGATGTTTTGGGGCTGTCGCTGGGCAACACAGACTTTCAACTCCCTCCAAAGATTTTCTATGGGGTTGAGATCTGGAGACTGGCTAGGCCACTCCAGGACCTTGAAATGCTTCTTACGAAGCCACTCCTTCGTTGCCCAGGCGGTGTGTTTGGGATCATTGTCATGCTGAAAGACCCAGCCACGTTTCATCTTCAATGCCCTTGCTGATGGAAGGAGGTTTTCACTCAAAATCTCACGATACATGGCCCCATTCATTCTTTCCTTTACACGGATCAGTCGTCCTGGTCCCTTTGCAGAAAAACTGCCCCAAAGCATGATGTTTCCACCCCCATGCTTCACAGTAGGTATGGTGTTCTTTGGATGCAACTCAGCATTCTTTGTCCTCCAAACACGACGAGTTGAGTTTTTACCAAAAAGTTCTATTTTGGTTTCATCTGACCATATGACATTCTCCCAATCCTCTTCTGGATCATCCAAATGCACTCTAGAAAACTTCAGACGGGCCTGGACATGTACTGGCTTAAGCAGGGGGACACGTCTGGCACTGCAGGATTTGAGTCCCTGGCGGCGTAGTGTGTTACTGATGGTAGGCTTTGTTACTTTGAACCAGCTCTCTGCAGGTCATTCACTAGGTCCCCCCGTGTGGTTCTGGGATTTTTGCTCACCGTTCTTGTGATCATTTTGACCCCACGGGGTGAGATCTTGTGTGGAGCCCCAGATCGAGGGAGATTATCAGTGGTCTTGTATGTCTTACATTTCCGAATAATTGCTCCCACAGTTGATTTCTTCAAACCAAGCTGCTTACCTATTGCAGATTCAGTCTTCCCAGCCTGGTGCAGGTCTACAATTTTGTTTCTGGTGTCCTTTGACAGCTCTTTGGTCTTGGCCATAGTGGAGTTTGGAGTGTGACTGTTTGAGGTTGTGGACAGGTGTCTTTTATACTGATAACAAGTTCAAACAGGTGCCATTAATACAGGTAACGAGTGGAGGACAGAGGAGCCTCTTAAAGAAGAAGTTACACGTCTGTGAGAGCCAGAAATCTTGCTTGTTTGTAGGTGACCAAATACTTATTTTCCACCATAATTTGCAAATAAATTCATAAAAAATCCTACAATGTGATTTTCTTGAAAAAAAAATCTCAATTTGTCTGTCATAGTTGACGTGTACATATGATGAAAATGACAGGCCTCTCTCATCTTTTTAAGTGGGAGAACTTTTTTTCCCCACTGCATACTGTAAGACAAACAATACAACCCAACAGACCATCCTCTCCACCACATGGGAGAGCTCTAACCCTGGCCGTCTCACTGTCTGCTGAGTCACCCTGCAGACAGTACACCCTGTGTGTGTGTGTGTGTGTGTGTGTGTGTGTGTGTGTGTGTGTGTGTGTGTGTGTGTGTGTGTGCGCGCATGCTGTGTTTGTTTATACCTGGGGATGAGGAGTCCGTCTCACTCTTACGTGTCCTCTTCATGATCTCCTCAATCCGCTGTGGACACACACACACACACACACACACACACACACACACACACACACGCACACACACACACACACACACGCAGGAGTTTAGGAAAACAGCTTAAATGGCAGCGTATTCTGGGGGTGGGGGGGGAGTGGGGGGGGGGGGGGGGGGGGGGGGTGTTAACCTTCTTCCTCTGCAGTCTCTCCTGCTCCTCCTGTAGCTGCAACAGTTCTCTCTCCTGCCTCTTCCTCTCCACCTCCCTGTGAGCACGCAGACACGCCTCCTCTCTCTGCACACACACAAACACAAAAACATGCAAAACATTCATTCCCTGAACTGAGAAGACTAAGGAAGCTGTGGGTCAGACATAATATGTTGGGTCAGATTGCATGAGATCAGCAGAAGTAGGGAGTTTCTTTTTTTCAAGGCTAAAAGCACAATGTAGCAGATAGACCCATATATATAAACCACATCGATTTGAAACTGCTAGCAACATGGCCTTGGAGATATACTGTATATCTATTGACTATCTGTCATTAGACATCTTAGACAGGCCTACATGCTGCAATAATGCCTCTTAGTTTGACATTTAACCCCTGAGACCCCTGACCCCTGACCTCTCGGTCCAGCTGATCCTGCATGTCTTTCCAGCGTCTCTCCTTTGTCCTTCTCTCCTCGTCCTCTCTGGTCTTCCTCTCCTCCTCCCATCTCTCTCTCTCCTCCTCCGCTTGTTGTGCCTCTCTCGCCTGCCACTCCCGTGCCTCCTGCTCTCTCCTCTGCTCCTCCTCTGCTCTCAGCCTGCACACACACACACACACACACACACACACACACACACACACACACACACAGTGAGAAAACACACACACACCTTATACACTCTAAATACCCACATCCTTCTGGTCATCCTCCTGGCCTGACAATATATACAGTGGGGGAAAAAAGTATTTAGTCAGCCACCAATTGTGCAAGTTCTCCCACTTAAAAAGATGAGAGAGGCCTGTAATTTTCATCATAGGTACATGTCAACTATGACAGACAAATTGAGATTTTTATTCTCCAGAAAATCACATTGTAGGATTTTTAATGAATTTATTTGCAAATTATGGTGGAAAATAAGTATTTGGTCACCTACAAACAAGCAAGATTTCTGGCTCTCACAGACCTGTAACTTCTTCTTTAAGAGGCTCCTCTGTCCTCCACTTGTTACCTGTATTAATGGCACCTGTTTGAACTTGTTATCAGTATAAAATACACCTGTCCACAACCTCAAACAGTCACACTCCAAACTCCACTATGGCCAAGACCAAAGAGCTGTCAAAGGACACCAGAAACAAAATTGTGGACCTGCACCAGGCTGGGAAGACTGAATCTGCAATAGGTAAGCAGCTTGGTTTGAAGAAATCAACTGTGGGAGCAATTATTAGGAAATGGAAGACATACAAGACCACTGATAATATAATAATATAAATATAATATGCCATTTAGCAGACGCTTTTATCCAAAGCGACTTACAGTCGTGCGTGCATACATTTTTGTGTATGGGTGGTCCCGGGGATCGAACCCACTACCTTGGCTCCCTCGATCTTGGGCTCCACGTAAGATCTCACCCCGTGGGGTCAAAATGATCACAAGAACGGTGAGCAAAAATCCCAGAACCACACGGGGGGACCTAGTGAATGACCTGCAGAGAGCTGGGACCAAAGTAACAAAGCCTACCATCAGTAACACACTACGCCGCCAGGGACTCAAATCCTGCAGTGCCAGACGTGTCCCCCTGCTTAAGCCAGTACATGTCCAGGCCCGTCTGAAGTTTGCTAGAGTGCATTTGGATGATCCAGAAGAGGATTGGGAGAATGTCATATGGTCAGATGACACCAAAATATAACTTTTTGGTAAAAACTCAACTCGTCGTGTTTGGAGGTCAAAGAATGCTGAGTTGCATCCAAAGAACACCATACCTACTGTAAAGCATGGGGGTGGAAACATCATGCTTTGGGGCAGTTTTTCTGCAAAGGGACTAGGACGACTGATCCGTGTAAAGGAAAGAATGAATGGGGCCATGTATCGTGAGATTTTGAGTGAAAACCTCCTTCCATCAGCAAGGGCATTGAAGATGAAACGTGGCTGGGTCTTTCAGCATGACAATGATCCCAAACACACCGCCCGGGCAACGAAGGAGTGGCTTCGTAAGAAGCATTTCAAGGTCCTGGAGTGGCCTAGCCAGTCTCCAGATCTCAACCCCATAGAAAATCTTTGGAGGGAGTTGAAAGTTCGTGTTTCCCAGCGACAGCCCCAAAACATCACTGCTCTAGAGGAGATCTGCAACCTTGTGAAGACTTACAGAAAACGTTTGACCTGTGTCATTGCCAACAAAGGGTATATAACAAAGTATCGAGAAACTTTTGTTATTGACCAAATACTTATTTTCCACCATAATTTGCAAATAAATTCATAAAAAATCCTACAATGTGATTTTCTGGAGAAAAAAATTCTCGTTTTGTCTGTCATAGTTGACGTGTACCTATGATGAAAATTACAGGCCTCTCTCATCTTTTTAAGTGGGAGAACTTGCACAATTGGTGGCTGACTAAATACTTTTTTCCCCCACTGTACATGTACCAGGGATCATCAACTAGATAAAGCTGCGAGCCGATTTCTTCTTGAGGGGCTGGTCAGGGGGCCGGAACATAATTACAAATAATTTGTAGACTGCAAATTGACCGCAAGAAGCCCAAACAGATATAATATCTGGCTAAAACATAATAATTTCAAACCTTGCTTACATTTGTATACAATCACATATATCTTTCTATTATGCGTTGGAATACTTTGGAACAGTTTTCCAAAATTAAAATCACTTGGAGCTGATTTGCAGGTGTTTTTATAATAATAATAATATGCCATTTAGCAGACGCTTTTATCCAAAGCGACTTACAGTCATGCGTGCATACATTTTATTTTGTGTATGGGTGGTCCCGGGGTTCGAACCCACTACCTTGGCGTTACAAGCGCCATGCTCTACCAGCTGAGCTACAGAGGACCACATTTTTATGTCCAACAATAAAAAAAGTTAAAAATGGTTTGTTTGCTTTTTTGCTCAGAAAACATTGTGGGGGGGGGGGGGGGGGTGCAAATAAAATCACGTGCGAGCTAAATTCGGGCCGCCAGTTGGGGAACCCTGCTCTATACAAATACTCAACACACACACATACACACACACACACACACACCTCTCCTCCTCCTGTCGTAGTTTGTCCTCCTGTTCTTTCTGTACTCTGGCCAGACGCCGCCTCTCAGCCAACAGTCTAGACGCCTCCTCCGCATCCATTGTCCCGGCAACGGTCCTGCCTGTGGGCGTACCTGGAGACTCTGAGAGGAGGGATGGAGGCAGGGAGGGGAGTGGTTGGGGAGAGGGACAGAGACAGAGATGACTGGTGTATAGCAGACACTGATGAAAGCAGTTTTCTTTTAAAGCGTTCTGTTCTCTCCTATCGTCTAGGGTGGCTCAGGTTACAGACCTCTCTATCTCCATCCCCCTCTCTCTCCTCTCAAGGGCAGAACATATCAGTGGTGAGTTCTGAGCTCACTGATCATCACTCTGTCATCTCTCTAACTGCCCACACACACACACACACACACACACACACACACACACACACACACACACACACACACACACACACACACACACACACACACACACACACACACACCCACACCCTACCTGCCGCCAGGTCTCTGCTGGAGGACTTGGAGATCTTCTTCTCTGGGGTGTCCAGCTTAGAGGACTTCCTCTCCAGGGTTCCATGACCCCTGGCCTCCTGGTTGCCCTCGGTTACCGGGGGTCGCTGGCGGATGGGGGAGGGAGGGTACTGTCCCGGAGAGCAGGGGGACTGGGCGCGACTCTTAGTCGACCTCACCCTGTAATAACAATGAACTTTAATTCAGGGGAAGCCAGGCTTCCCCAAATATTTGACCAATAAAAATAAAAATAATACTTTTCCATTGATTCGTGAGTGGCTCAATCTCACCGGAGAAATCATCCAAGTGAGGGAAACAGCGCCCCTCTGTCTCAGTATGTGTAACCCATGTATCTGATGCTGTCTGAACCAAAAGAGTGTAACATGTTGCCGCAGTACCATTTGATTGATTGATGCCAGCAAGCATTTGGCCTCCCTTGATAAAAAAAGTATAACATAGTTAGCCAATCAGCGTTGAGCTGAGCTCAACTGTGGTTTGTCCTGGTGCAGCAAAACGCCCCCAAGGGAGGCCAGTTTGGATTTGGCTTCACACCAATCAAATAACTTCCTAAGCAAAACCTCATTTTCAGTGTGTTTCTGGTCTACTTCAGTTGATGTCCTGCAGTAGCTAGCTTGCTAAATCGTCCCTTTCCTAAGCATGGATGGAGATGGGGATTTGGACTTGTGATTTTGACTTAATTCTCTGTACAGGCCAGTGATTGTGACGGCGATTCTGATCTAACCATAAATTAATATGTTGTACCACTGGCCTGAGACGATCGAAGTTCAATATGTAGCCTAGATGTAGCCTAGTAGGCTCATGTTAACTAGCTAGCTAACTTAGCTGGTTCATTGTTGCCCATGCGAGGAAGTTAGGCTAGCAAACATTTTAGCTAGGTAGCCTATGACAACAAAAACTAAAAGTGTACTGTATGACAGAGCCTAGACCGTTTTGCCAACATGAAAGAGAGGAGGATGGCATTGGCGTTCAACTAGTCTACAAGTAGGGTGCACGCACACACACACACACACACACACACACACACACACACACACACACACACACACACACACACACACACACACACACACACACACACACACAAATCAGTACCATGGACAGCCACATGATGTTTAGCAACATTGATTGGACTAAATTGTCTTTAAGTTAGTTTTCATTGTATTAAACTAAGCATATATTGCCTTGTTGATCTGATGATATTTAAATGTTTAAGTTGAAATGGTGCTGGAATACTGGAGGCAGTTCTCCTGTTGTCTTTGTGCTGACTTGTGGTAACTCAGTAGTTGTTTAGTAAACTGTCCAAAACATTAACTTGCTTGACCATGCTGCAGGTCATATACAGTGCCATTGGAAAGTATTCAGACTCCTTGACTTTTTCCACATTTTGTTAGGTTACAGCCTTATTCTAAAATTGATTAAATTGTTTTTTTCCCTCATGAATTTTACCCACACAATACCCCATAATGACAACGCAAAAACAGGTTTTCAGAAATGTTTGCTAATTTATAAAACAAAAAAAGCCGGAAATATCACATTTACATAAGTATTCAGACCCTTTACTCAGTACTTTGTTGAAGCACCTTTGGCAGCGATTACAGCCTCGCGTCTTCTTGGGTATGACGCTACAAGCTTGGCACATCTGTATTTGAGGAGTTTCTCCCATTCTTCTCTGCAGATCCTCTCAAGCTCTGTCAGGTTGGATGGTGAGCGTTGCTGCACAGCTATTTTCTGGTCTCTCCAGAGATGTTCGACCGGGTTCAAGTCCGGGCTCTGGCTGGGCCACTCAAGGACATTCTGAGACTTGTCCTGAAGCCACTCCTGCGTTGTCTTGGCTGTGTGCTTAGGGTCATTGTCCTGTTGCAAGGTGAACCTTCGCCCCAGTCTGAGGTCCTGAGCGCTCTGGAGCAGGTTTTCATCAAGGAACTCTCTGTACTTTGCTCCATTCATCTTTGCCTCGATCCTGACTAGTCTCCCAGTCCCTGCCGCTGAAAAACATCCCCACAGGATAATACTGCCACTACTATGCTTCACCGTAGGAATGGTGCCAGGTCTTGGTGGTTCCAAACTTCTTCCATTTAAGAATAATGGAGGCCACTGGGACCTTCAATGCTGCAGATATTGTTTGGTACCCTTCCCCAGATCTGTGCCTCGGCACAATCCTGTCTCGGAACTCTACGGACAATTCCTTCGACCTCATGGCTTGGTTTTTGCTCTGACATGCACTGTCAACTGTGGCACCTAATATAGACAGGTGTGCCTTTCCAAATCATGTCCAATCAATTGAATTTACCACAGGTGGACTCCAATCAAGTTGTAGAAACATCTCAAGGATGATCAATGGAAACAGGATGCACTTGACCTCAATTTGGAGTCTCATAGCAAAGGGTCTGAATACTTATGTAAATAAGGTATTTCTGTTTTTTATTTTTAATACGCCTGTTTTCGCTTTGTACTTATGGGCTATTGTGTGTAGATTGCTGAGGATTTTTTATTTATTTAATTCATTTTTGAATAAGGCTGTAACGTAACAAAGCGTGGGAAAAGTCAAGGTGTCTGAATACTTTCCGAAGGCACTGTGACTGTTTGTTACATGCAATATTTGCTTTGTGGACTTCACCAGACAGATGTTGCTCTCCAGTTTTGTGATAAAACAAACATATGTGTAGTTTAATTTATTCCGCCACTGTGTGACTTGTCTTTTGTTGTCAAGGCCTTATTGTATATCATGGTGGCATAGGAACTAATACGTTACAGCCTTATTCAGCAACGGTCCACAAAACTCCCACAATGCTCAGATAACCTATGTGTGTGTGCTACTGCACGTTGCTGTACCTTTTGGGCGTGCCCAGTCCTTTGCTCTGGGCTCTGGGGGAGGAGCTTCGGGTCGGAGTGGTCGGAGATTCAAGGCGTCTCATTGAAGAGTCAGTCAGACAGGGGGCAGGGCCTCTCTCTGTCTAAAAATACAACAGAAGAAGTGAGGTTTTGCTCAGAGTTCTAATGTGGTAATATAAATGCATGTACAAACACACATGGTACCGACTGTGGGTGTTTTGGGGGTCTTGTCCTCCGGGGGTCCATTACTGGTCTTCCTGGAGGGGGAACCTTTGTAGGCCGGCCGCTGGGGGCTTGGGAATGCTAAACGAGAGGACACACCACACAATGCATCATCATAGCACAGACAGAGAGACAGAAAACAAAGAGACACACACACAGAGGGGTGCAGAGAAATACATAAAAGATAGTCATATTATATACTGTTGCTTGGCAACACTACACACGTCCTCATGAATCGACTCGAACACACACACACACTCACACGCGCACGCACACACACCTCTATCTGGTGAGTGCAGGGAGGCTGAAGAGTTGGAGAGGCGTTTGGTGATTGGCTGGTCCGAGGAGGGCGGTGTCAGGAAGTCACTCACTGCAGAGAGATGCATGATGGGACAAAGAGTCAGACATTCCACCCCAGAGGGACAGAAAGAGGTACGAGTCGTCTTTTACCACTAATACTAATACTGAATTCACATGATCTGCCCTTATCCTTGAAGTGTGCAGTCATTCACTTCCCCTCATGGGGATAGTTAGGAATGGACTGAAATATGATGGGAACTCATTTATGCTTACACCAATCTTCACATCAATGAGAATGAGAGAGGGATGAGTGCACACGTCAGGGAGGTGGGTAGAGAAAATAGCTAAAGTCAGATATGTCTATCTGTGGTTAGGGGCAACTTGTACCTGGAGCAACAGTGACACAAATCACATTACACACAAATAAGAGACACACAACACAACACACCTTACAAACACACACCATTGGAACACTCAAACTAAAATGTCACTCCAGTTAGTGAACAGACCATTCAACTAATAAAACACAACACAATCACTGTCTAAAACACACAACTATGCCACAAATTCACACACACCAAACCACCAATCCCACCAAACACACACTGATTGGGCTTCAGTTTGACTTCAGTCTTGTGTAGAAAGAGACTAATGCATGTTCCATATTTACATGGATACACATGGATACACACACAGACCGTCTAGCACAAAGGAGAGAGGAGGGTTTTAATGAGTGTGTGTGTGTGTGGTTAGACTGCTGCAGGGGCAGTCTGTTGAAGGGGGGGGTTAGTTGAACCCCCTACTGTGAACACTGTGTGTGCATCAACGAGTGTCGCCATAGGCCAGACAGACAGGAAGTACATAAACTATTTGTTCTGATTGGGCAAGGAGGGGGTGCTGATGGACCCCAAAGACCAAAGGGAGACAACAAACACATGCACACATTTACATAATTTGTGGTGAACACAACCATAACCATATTCAGAAACACACAGACACTCCCATGCAGGAAGGCAGCAGAACTCACTGCAAAACACATAGCATACCAATCAGATAGGACATAGGCTACTTGGGCCAAAAAACATATAAAAATACATAAACATTATTGTGAATACGGACAATAGAATAAAATATAATACAATGTAATACTTTATTGCCCAGAAGAGGGAATAACAGTCTTGGACTGGCAACACAAACCACAACACGCATGCAGCCACACACCAACAGCACACATGCACGGTATATACACACACATGCAGGCAGCAGATCACACTAAGGGTGTCAGGTGGTCTGTACCGTTCCTGGATTGGTTGGGGCTGGCAGCGGAGGCGGGATGATTAGGCAGAGCTGAGCCAATAGCATGAGAGGGCGGGGTCTTAGGGTTACCTGGTAGCAGGTGTGGCAGAGCGGAGAAAGCAAAGCGTTACACACGCACCTGGGCGTAACAATCATACGCACACCTGAGTGTCGCATTTATACTCACATACGTACTGCGTACACAAACACACACCTATGTGGCGCAATTGTATACACGCACACACCTATGAGTCTCTGACACACGCGGTGCACTGCAGTCAGACTGGCGCTGTGAAGCTGATACCCTGCAAGCTGCAGCATCAACTGATCTCAGTTCAGATCTACCATCCATCCACAGGTTAGAACCCCAGTGATATATAGTGATGTTTAGATCAGTAATTGAAGAAGAATAGAATGGGTGCTGACACTCCAGATTTTACAAGGGTTTGCATTCTAGAGCCGCTATTCTGTAGGATTCTATAAGGTATTGTTGAAGAATGTAGTAACCTAGGTATTCTATAAGGGGCCGATTCTCCACTTCATCCTAAGCCTGTGTGAATAATTGATGGCATTATGAATGCGTCACAGAGTCTGGTTACTGCTCTGGTACTGCTCACTGATGGGAGCATCATCGCTGAAAACAAATAAACACACATACACAGGCACGCACATACCATGAAAATACACAGATAAAGATACAAATCCTATAATACCCTTAGCCATAACAGTAGGCCTAGACAGATGACGAGGGTGTGTGTGTGTGCGTGTGTAGAGAGAGAGACAGACACTAACACAACAATGGGTGTTTACATACGCAGTAAATATCCTGTCAGTGTGTGTGTGTGTGTGTGTGTATGTATGTGTGTGTCAAGGTTAGATACGTATTTCAGGCCCCTCCCAGGAATCAGGCCTGTTTCCCAACGCACCAATGCTCACCTCAGTAGTGAACAACATCAGACACGCACGCATTCAAACACGCACACTACTGAGGTAGGGTAGCAGCATTTCACAGAAAGAGAGATATACCCAACACACACAGGATTCCTCAGCTAAACTCACACCTGTAACAGCAGGATAAACCACAGTGACACAGACAGAATTCTCTTATCATCACAGAGCAATGTTATGAGCCATAATACTATTGGCCCACACACACACACACCAGCCTCTCCCAAGCTGATGAGTTTATGACAAAGCGTTGTCCTCCCTGCATTGCAGCCTCCACACCCTTTTCCTCTCTCTGTCCTCCCCCTCTCTATCTCTCTCTCTGGTCTCTGTCCTCCCTCTGTCACCCCTCGTTTCTCTTGTCCTTTATCTGTCTAATCTATCTCTCATCCACCTGCCCCCGTCATCTTCCTCTTCATACATTCCTCCCCTCACTTCTCTAGTTTCCTTTTCCTTGTAGCTGTCCTAAACTGTCCCCACCCTTTCCCCCATCCTGAACACATCCCATCAACTCCTCTCCTCTCTCTCTTCCTTTGTCCCCCCTCACACACATCATCCCATACCTCCTAAACCTCCATACCCTCCTGTCAATCTCTCCCCTCCCTGTCTCTCCCTCCCGTTTGACCCCCATGCCCCCCACCCTCCTTCTCCCCAGTGTACTCACCCTCTCCCCCTCCAGGCGGTCCTCCCCAGGTCCAGCGTTTAGGCCTGTTCTCCATAGAGTCTCTGCTGTCCTCCCCCATCTGTCTCTCCCTCTCTCCCCCTCTCTCCCGTCTTCTCACCAGGGCCTCTAGTCTCTCCTGTTCGTTCCGTTCCAAAACGGGGAAAAATAGACACTCTCTCACCGAGCCGTCGCTACGACGACGAACGCCCGGTGATGCACAAGGAGACGGCTGTGCCATGGTTACCGGAGCAACTGCAGCCTCGCCACTCTCTCTCTCCTCCAAGTGTGTCAGTTCGTTCAGTCGTTCTATCACTCACACTGTCTGCTGCTCACTGATAAATAAACCAGGGCCTCAGGCTCTCTATCTATCCCTCTCTCTCTATCCCTGTCTCCGTCGGTGTCTGCCGCTCCCTCTAGGTAGCTCTGTTTCTCTCTTGCTCTGTCACTCTCTCTCCCTCCCCTCACTTGCTCACCCCTCCCTCTCTCTCTCTGCTCACCTCTTTCTCCCTGGATTCTCTCTCCGTCCCCTCCATTTTTTCTCTCTCTTCTCCCCTCCCCTTTCTCTCTCTCTCTCTCTCTCTCCCCCCTCTCTCTAATAACTGATTCTATTTCAGAAAGCACTTAGCCAGATAGAGGGACAACACATAACCTCTACTCCCTTCCCCTCTGTTGACGACACCCAACTGAGCTCTCACACACATGTGCGCACACACACACGTCATAGGGACATATACACACACAGAGGGTACTCTAGGGTACTGACACAGGTTGCATTTGTCACATCACATATGCTCTTTTTTCCTTTGTACTCTCCACTCTCTCCCTCCCTCCTTTCCTCCAACCCTCCCTCCATCTCTTCCTCCTTCCTGCATCTGCTCAGTGACTGTATTTCTCTGGTGGGTTAACTCCTGCCTGCCTGGACTACTGAGATCTACAGCAGAGAGAGACAGAGGCTCGGATGTCATTTACCAGAGACAGACCCCCCCCCTCACCCCCCACCCATCCCCACCCCCTCTCTCTCTCATTTCAATCCATCTCCTATACACATTTCAATTCACAACTGCTGTAAATATTCTGTATAAGTATGTTGGGTATCTTAAGTATGTTAGGGAAAGGCTGCAGCATTCTCTGTGAGGAAGGGAAAGCCCCACTCACACACACCACTGCAGGAAGAGAAAGAGGGACTCGCACACACCACTGCAGGAGAGGAGAAGGGGAGGAGGGAGGGATGGAGGAGGGGGATGAAGATCGATAAGAGAGATGGAAAGAGAGAGAGAGAGAGAGAGAGAGAGAGAGGAGAGAGAGAGAGAGAGAGAGAGAGAGAGAGAGAGACAGAGAGATACAGAGAGATACAGAGAGATACAGAGAGATACAGAGAGATACAGAGAGATACAGAGAGATACAGAGAGATAGAGGGAAGCCGAGGGTGGGGGGGAGGGAGAAAGAGGCAGAGGAAGAGAGAGGGGGAGGAGAGGTAGAGATGGGGGAGAGAAAGAGAGAGAAGCAGAGTCATCTGAGGTGATAGCGGACAATATCGCTACGGCAACCCAGAACCCGACCGGGGCCAGGACTAAAATAGAACCTCCACAGAGTTCTACAGCAGAAAACACACACACACCTACATAACTAGAGACAGATTTAATCAGCAGAGTGTTTTTTAACAATACATTAACTCATATTGTTTGCATATCTAATCGATAATTCTGCAGTAATCTACCAACATCAATTCTATAGGCTACCACTGGCCTCATATCCTATCACATCCAATTAAATAGTATGGATACTCTGTCCTCTATCTCGTCCTACACATAATCAAATAATCATATCCATGTGTGTGTGTGCGTGTGTGGGCGCGTGCATGTGTGTGTGACATATATATATCATGTACTGTCTGACTCCAGGAAATGACACATGATACGACAACGATGACATCATGATGCAGCCACAGAGACTGCCCAATCATTAAACCATTAACATAAACGGGAGGGGCTGTCTGCAATGATGGGCTGTCTCCCAATCAATTTCAAATCATCAGTTGAGATGTTCACCATTGGCCTACTTTTAAAGCATATCTAATCTAACCCAACAGGCAGACCATACTCAACTCAAATCAGAGAGAGAGAGAGAGAGAGAGAGAGAGAGAGAGAGAGAGAGAGAGAGAGAGAGAGAGAGAGAGAGAGAGAGAGAGAGAGAGAAAGATGAGAGACGGAGAGAGGGGTAAAAAGGGTGTGGGGGAGGTGGAAGGAGTGGTTGAGGTAAGGACAAAAAAAGAGGGTGCATAGTAGTTTGACCTCTGACCTTCTCCTCCACTTCCTGCTGCCGTCTCCTCTCCTTCTCTATTTTTTTCTGCTTCTCCATCCTCCTCCCTCGTTCCTCCGCACAACGCTCCAGCTGCTGCTGCTCTATATCACGCAGGAACTCTCCTAGGTCTACACACACATCTCTTGTCATTAATGACTCCACACACACACACAGTGTTCATATTTGTTTAATGAATGTGTGTGTGTGTGTGTGTGTATATATATATATATATGGACATATTTAACTATTCTTGTAGAGACCAGAAGTCCCCACAAGAATAGTAAACAAACAAAACTTTGACCAACTGGGGACATTTTGTTAGTCCCCACAAGGTCAAATGCTATTTCTAGGGGGTTTACGGTTAAGGTTAGAATTAGTGTTAGGGTTAGAATTAGGGTTAGGGTTAGGAGCTAGGGTTAGTTTTAGTGTTAGGGTTAGGAGCTAGGGTTAGGTTTAGTGTTAGGGTTAAGGTTCAAATCAAATCAAATCAAATCAAATTGTATTTGCCACATGCGCCGAATACAACGGGTGTAGACATTACCGTGAAATGCTTACTTACAGCCCTTAACCAACAATGCATTTATTTCTTAATAAAAAAGTAAAATAAAACAACAACAACAAAAAAGTGTTGAGAAAAAAAGAACAGAAGTAAAATAAAATAACAGTAGGGAGGCTATATACAGGGGGGTACCGGTGCAGAGGTTAGGGTTAGGGTTATGGTTATGGTTATGGTTATGGTTATGGTTAGGGTAAGAGTACAGGTTAAGGTTAGGGTTAGGGTTAGGGGTTAGGGAAAATAGGATTTTGAACGGGACTGAATTGTGTGTCCCCACAAGGTTAGCTGTACAAGACTGTGTGTGTGACTCATTCCCTGACTCTTCTCTCTCTCCTCTCTCCTCCCTCTCACTAGCTGCACTCTGTCCATCTGCGGTGACCCTTACACAGAAGAGAGAAGATAGAGTGAGAGAGAGAGTCAGTGAGCACATAGAAGGCAATTATGAACAGAAGAGAAACTCAGAACAGGTGTTTCATACTGCTATAAAATCAGTGGAGCGGTTGAAGTATACTGTTGCTGAATGAACAACGAACTACAGTAGATCATCCAGTCTTGGAGGTAGCTACACAGACCCAGATCGCATTTTAGTCCAGGAGTAGGTGGCTTAGCTTGGTCTTTGTCAAGAAACAGATGAGTATGATGCTAGAGGTTGCTTACCTGCTGGACTGTTGTGATTGGACGACAGGCGAGAAGGGGACACGTGCCCATTGGTGAGTGGCCTTGTCCCGGTGATGGTAAGCGAGGTCATGACTGCTGATTGGAGGGTAGAGTCAGTTGCACACTTGGCACACACACAGCGGCCAGAACTAATGCTTAGGCTTTTGCTCAGTGGGCTCACACAGTCGCTCTTTACACACGCATGTGACAAGGTTACGATTCCATAGCAATCTGTTTTCTAAGTTTGATTTCCGGTCAGTAAGACATCAAATCCCCTAGATGATTCCTGACCCTGTCTGTGTGTGAGGGGGAGAGACACACATCCAGCTGACCTGGGGGTCATCCCTCCATGTCAGGATCAGACAGCCATCTCTATAAACCTGCTGTCAACCTGCTGTAGCTAGAGGTCAGAGGTCAGGGCATTGTGTGTGGTTTATGTCTGTCTATCTGAAACACTGTCAATCGATATATAAACTACAAAACAAGAGGGTCGTGTCTACGCTCAAACACACACATACAGAGAGATGCACACTCACTATACTTGCACACTATACGCACACAGCACGCAATGAGCTAGTGTTTTTTACTTTCACAAGATATGTAAATGTAGGTAGATGCATTCCTCCTGATTCTCCTGATTCCTGCAGGCCGCCGCAGAACAGCAGTAACAAATCAAATCAGCCTGAACACGACTGCAGCAGAACCGTACAGAGAGAGTGATAAATGCCGGAGAAACAGAGTTTGAGAGTGGAGGGATGCCAGAAAGAGAGAGAGAGACCAATGGGATAAGTGAATGTTTTCGACTGTCTTCGAATGGAATTGAAGTCCCTCCATCTGATAAACTTGACCTCTTTTTATTTTAAATTAGCTTATTTTTGGTAATGACAGTTTAATCCATATCTGCATGGTTTGTCTATGAATTTAAGTCACAGACGAGCACATGTACCAGGCATACACCCGAAAGCACTGCATTACGTCATTATTTACATCAAAGTAAACAGAGTTTACGCATGTCTGGTCAGTGGTCTCTGTCTCTCGCACTCTCTCTCTCTCTCTCTCTCACACACACACACACACACACACACACACACACACACACACACACACACACACACACACACACACACACACACACACACACACACACACACACACACACACTGACGTACATAAACACATACAGGCCCTCCAGAGGTTTATTCATAGACAGAAAATAGCGCTGAGGGAACATCAGACAACAAATAATAATAATAATATGCCATTTAGCAGACGCTTTTATCCAAAGCGACTTACAGTCATGCGTGCATACATTTATTTGTGTATGGTGGTCCCGGGGATCAAACCCACTACCTTGGCGTTACAAGCGCCGTGCTCTACCAGCTGAGCTACAGAGGACCACAATGTCACGGTTTCGGTCGAGGCTGCTCCTCCTCCTGGTTCGGGCAGGCTTCGGCGGTCGTCGTCCCCGGAGTACTAGCTGCCACCGATCTATGTTTCATGTTCGTTTGGTTTTGTCTTGATGTTGTACACCTGTGTCTTGTTAGTCCTCGTTAGTGTCCTATTTAGTTCTCGTTGTGTGTGTTTGTCTTTGTGTGTGATTGCTCTTCTGTTTCGTGTTGGAGCTACGTACTTCCCTCCAGTGTTTTGGAGAGGTTTTTCGCACATGTTAGTGCGCCGTTTGTTTGACGCCTGTGTGCGCCGTTATTTCGCCTTCGGGCTTATTG